TGGGGTGACTCCCTTATTGCTGGGCATCTGGCTGTTGTGAGGCTCCTCTTGATAATGTTATTAACCTCTTCATGTCTTGCAATCTTTCCCTTGGATTTACGACACGCAAGACCATGGTACCCGAATCGGTCTGCAGTTTCACTGCCGCAAATACACCTGTGTTTGGCAAGCGTAGGGGCAGCAAGTCAAAGGGCATCACCAATGTAGATGGTCTGTGGGTTGAGGTGTGTGCTAAGGCTGGAGTTGGAAACAGCCAAGAGAAAGTCCCCTGCATGAGGAGCTCTCACTGCCAGGAGGTGGGCTCTATACTTCCTTGACAGACCCTGAAGCATACTTGAGTCTATATTCTCCACTATTGGGCCATCCCAGTGTGACTGTTTGTAGTTGTTGGGGGGAAATAAGAAAAATATAGGGAGGTACCACCTCTGGAACTGGGCTGGGGACCCTCATCCTCAGAGAAAAGAATAAACTTACTTCAGGGAAAACGTAAGGTTCTCCATGGAGGTCTTTGAATATTGTTTTCTCCTACCACCCCCTATGTCCTGTATTCTATGTAGACTTTATTTAAAGACAAAATACATAGACAAAAATACAATAGGGAGTAGAACAACATAGATAGCATCTCAGAGCTACATCTCGAATACTTTGTCCAGCTCCCTGGCGGTGGGGTGAGAGCCCACAATGATGCAAGCATTTCCCCTCTGGATTGCAACACTGAGTCTCTGAAAGAGGAAGCTGGCTGCCCTGTGTTCCTTGTTTTCTATGATGAGTTTTTCACCCAGCTCTAATAATATATTTTATATATTTTATATATATATATATATATATATATATATTATAATATTATATATATATATTATATATTATTTTTTTTTTTTTTTTTTTTTTTTATTATCACACCGGCCGATTCCCACCAAGGCAGGGTGGCCCGAAAAAGAAAAACTTTCACCATCATTCACTCCATCCCCTGTCTTGCCAGAAGGGTGCTTTACACTACAGTTTTTAAACTGCAACATTAACACCCCTCCTTCAGAGTGCCAGGCACTGTACTTCCCATCTCCCGGACTCAAGTCCGGCCTGCCGGTTTCCCTGAATCCCTTCATAAATGTTACTTTGCTCACACTCCAACAGCACGTCAAGTATTAAAAAACCATTTGTCTCCATTCACCCTATCAAACACGCTCACGCATGCCTGCTGGAAGTCCAAGCCCCTCGCACACAAAACCTCCTTTACCCCCTCCCTCCAACCCTTCCTAGGCCGACCCTACCCCGCCTTCCTTCCACTACAGACTGATACACTCTTGAAGTCATTCTGTTTCGCTCCATTCTCTCTACATGTCCGAAACCACCTCAACAACCCTTCCTCAGCCCTCTGGACAACAGTTTTGGTAATCCCGCACCTCCTCCTAACTTCCAAACTACGAATTCTCTGCATTATATTCACACCACACATTGCCCTCAGACATGACATCTCCACTGCCTCCAGCCTTCTCCTCGCTGCAACATTCATCACCCACGCTTCACACCCATATAAGAGCGTTGGTAAAACTATACTCTCATACATTCCCCTCTTGCCTCCAAGGACAAAGTTCTTTGTCTCCACAGACTCCTAAGTGCACCACTCACTCTTTTTCCCTCATCAATTCTATGATTCACCTCATCTTTCATAGACCCATCCGCTGACACGTCCACTCCCAAATATCGGAATACGTTCACCTCCTCCATACTCTCTCCTCCAATCTGATATTCAATCTTTCATCACCTAATCTTTTTGTTATCCTCATAACCTTACTCTTTCCTGTATTCACCTTTAATTTTCTTCTTTTGCACACCCTACCAAATTCATCCACCAATCTCTGCAACTTCTCTTCAGAATCTCCCAAGAGCACAGTGTCATCAGCAAAGAGCAGCTGTGACAACTCCCACTTTGTGTGTGATTCTTTATCTTTTAACTCCACGCCTCTTGCCAAGACCCTCGCATTTACTTCTCTTACAACCCCATCTATAAATATATTAAACAACCAAGGTGACATCACACATCCTTGTCTAAGGCCTACTTTTACTGGGAAAAAATTTTCCCCTCTTTCCTACATACTCTAACTTGAGCCTCACTATCCTCGTAAAAACTCTTCACTGCTTTCAGTAACCTACCTCCTACACCATACACTTGCAACATCTGCCACATTGCCCCCTATCCACCCTGTCATACGCCTTTTCCAAATCCATAAATGCCACAAAGACCTCTTTAGCCTTATCTAAATACTGTTCACTTATATGTTTCACTGTTAAACACCTGGTCCACACACCCCTACCTTTCCTAAAGCCTCCTTGTTCATCTGCTATCCTATTCTCCGTCTTACTCTTAATTCTTTCAATTATAACTCTACCGTACACTTTACCAGGTACACTCAACAGACTTATCCCCTATAATTTTTGCACTCTCTTTTATCCCCTTTGCCTTTATACAAAGGAACTATGCATGCTCTCTGCCAATCCCTAGGTACCTTACCCTCTTCCATACATTTATTAAATAATTGCACCAACCACCCCAAAACTATATCCCCACCTGCTTTTAACCTTTCTATCTTTATCCCATCAATCCCGGCTGCCTTACCCCCTTTCATTTTACCTACTGCCTCACGAACTTCCCCCACACTCACAACTGGCTCTTCCTCACTCCTACAAGATGTTATTCCTCCTTGCCCTATACACGAAATCACAGCTTCCCTATCTTCATCAACATTTAACAATTCCTCAAAATATTCCTTCCATCTTCCCAATACCTCTAACTCTCCATTTAATAACTCTCCTCTCCTATTTTTAACTGACAAATCCATTTGTTCTCTAGGCTTTCTTAACTTGTTAATCTCACTCCAAAACTTTTTCTTATTTTCAACAAAATTTGTTGATAACATCTCACCCACTCTCTCATTTGCTCTCTTTTTACATTGCTTCACCACTCTCTTAACTTCTCTCTTTTTCTCCATATACTCTTCCCTCCTTGCATCACTTCTACTTTGTAAAAAACTTCTCATATGCTAACTTTTTCTCCCTTACTACTCTCTTTACATCATCATTCCACCAATCGCTCCTCTTCCCTCCTGCACCCACTTTCCTGTAACCACAAACTTCTGCTGAACACTCTAACACTACATTTTTAAACCTACCCCATACCTCTTCGACCCCATTGCCTATGCTCTCATTAGCCCATCTATCCTCCAATAGCTGTTTATATCTTACCCTAACTGCCTCCTCTTTTAGTTTATAAACCTTCACCTCTCTCTTCCCTGATGCTTCTATTCTCCTTGTATCCCATCTACCTTTTACTCTCAGTGTAGCTACAACTAGAAAGTGATCTGATATATCTGTGGCCCCTCTATAAACATGTACATCCTGAAGTCTACTCAACAGTCTTTTATCTACCAATACATAATCCAACAAACTACTGTCATTTCGCCCTACATCATATCGTGTATACTTATTTATCCTCTTTTTCTTAAAATATGTATTACCTATAACTAAACCCTTTCTATACAAAGTTCAATCAAAGGGCTCCCATTATCATTTACACCTGGCACCCCAACTTACCTACCACACCCTCTCTAAAAGTTTCTCCTACTTTAGCATTCAAGTCCCCTACCACAATTACTCTCTCACTTGGTTCAAAGGCTCCTATACATTCACTTAACATCTCCCAAAATCTCTCTCTCTCCTCTGCATTCCTCTCTTCTCCAGGTGCATACACGCTTATTATGACCCACTTCTCGCATCCAACCTTTACTTTAATCCACATAATTCTTGAATTTACACATTCATATTCTCTTTTCTCCTTCCATAACTGATCATTTAACATTACTGTACCCCTTCCTTTGCTCTAACTCTCTCAGATATCCAGATTTAATCCCATTTATTTCCCCCCACTGAAACTCTCCTACCCCCTTCAGCTTTGTTTCGCTTAGGGCCAGGACATCCAACTTCTTTTCATTCATAACATCAGCAATCATCTGTTTCTTGTCATCCGCACTACATCCACGCACATTTAAGCAACCCAGTTTTATAAAGTTTTTCTTCTTCTCTTTTTTTATTTAATTGTATACAGGAGAAGGGGTTACTAGCCATTGCTCCCGGCATTTTAGTCGCCTCATACGACACGCATGGCTTACGGAGGAAAGATTCTTTTCCACTTCCCCATGGACAATAGAAGAAATAAAAAAGAACAAGAGCTATTTAGAAAAAGGAGAAAAACCTAGATGTATGTATATATATATATGCATGTGCGTGTCTGTGAAGTGTGCCCAAAAAGTGTAAGTAGGAGTAGCAAGATATCCCTGTTATCTTAGCGTGTTTATGAGACAGAAAAAGAAACCAGCAATCCTACCATCATGCAAAACAGTTACAGGTTTTTGTTTCACAGTCATCTGGCAGGACGGTAGTACTTCCCTGGGTGGTTGCTGTCTACCAACCTACTACCTATTATATATATATTATATATATATATATATTATATATATATATATATAATTATTTATTAATTCTACATCTAAAAAGGACTTTGTGGACACTTCATATGCTGCAGTTCCTAATATCTATCAGATATGTTAATAAGACACAATATATTGTTTTATGATATTAAGATAGTTTCAACCTTCAGGTACTATTGTATTAATAGTCCCTAGTAGACAGAATGTCTTCTCAATAAAATGCCATAAATAGTAAACTATCATTGGAAATAAGTTACTTTGTCAAACTTTTTTTTTGGTTATCCTGGGTAATCTACACATATGCTACTATGTATGATAATTTATGTAACTGTATTTATGTGTACCTGTACCTGAATAAACTTACTTAATAATGTTAACTTACTGTTATCTATTGTTTGTCATTACAGTAATTGCCATACTGTACATTCAGGATTGTTTTCAAGTAAACTTAATTTTCTAATATTATGTAGCTTATCAATTACCTTTTCTCTAATAAATAAAGTAATCTTTTGTTCCATAGGATGGAGGTGCCTAAGCCAAAATGTCTGGAACATCCCATAAATGTTCCCACCAAACTGTTGATGGGTCCTGGTCCAGTCAATATGCCTCTGCGCGTTCATAATGCCATGATGAAGCCAATGCTAGGTCATCTACATCCAGAATTTACTCAGGTTCGTCTTTTTTTCTTTGGGATGGTTAAAAAGAAATTATATATACTATAATCACTGTTGTAGCTAATTTTTTTCTATTGTTGCAAATAAATTTTGCATTAGATTGGTTTGTCAAATAGTCATCATCAAGCTTATTGTCCATACAGTTTTACTCCTGATTAATAACTCGGGAAAAGTGCCACTATTAACTAATAATTTTTTTTTTCAGATATGGGTATTTTAACTTGTTTGTATACTACTAATAATAATGATAATAATCTTTATTTCTACAAGTACATATACAAGGTATACAGGCCTAGCTGATATCAGTGACATGCTATCATATACAAATCCCCTTCTTATGCAGAACATTTCGGGAAAATTAGATCACTTTTGTATCCAGGGTACGACCCACACCAGTCGACTAACACCTAGGTATTTATTTTTTACCGATAGGTGAGCATGGGCAGCAGGTGTCTTAAGGAAACACGTCCTAATATTTTTCACCCATACCGGGGATTGACCCCTGGACCTCAGTGTGTGAGCCGAGTGTGCTAGCAATCAACCTACAGAACACAACTTCATTGGCAGTCCTATGTCAGATTGAAAGTTTGTCTTGGTACCCAGTTAACGAAACTGTCTCGTCCAGTTCTTTTTACTGAAGGACAGCATGGAACAAAATAATAATGATTTAGCTGTTAATACCTATAACTTCACTGAGGAATTACCCAGAAGTATTTACATGCATTCATATTCCATGCTGCTCTAACACTGTAATAGTTACCAGTTTCCTTTCCAAATGTAAATTTGAATAATAAAAATTAATTTGTTTAAAGCTCTTTAATTTTATAACATAAGTAGTAATTAGCCATTTTATGCATGCATTGGCTATATCAATATGTAAATCTCCTATTGATACCTGGAAAATTGGTGCATAGTTGTCAACACTTCTAGGAATACAGCCTCTCCTCACTTAACGACAGAGTTCCGTTCCTAAGACCATATTGTTAAATGAATTCATCGCTAAGTGAGGAGCATACTATAATGGTAGTGGGTTTGTGTCAACCATCTTTGATATTGTTTTAATGTCATCTTTGCACCATTTATGGAATATTTTTAAATGTTTATACAGTAGTGTATTGTATATTGAAATAAACAGAATAGAGAAAATCAGCTCTAATGTAAATTATTGAAGTATAAAGAGTGGTCAGAGAACCCGTCGTAAGTCCGAGGTGTCAGTAAACGAGGATGTCGCTAAGTGAGGAGAGGCTGTAATTCACACCAACCAAGTTGTTTATTGAGTATTGTTTTTACCATCCTCCTATCCAAGTAACATATTTTTACATGTCTCCTTATCCTTTCTGCATCACTGTAGTTAGTGACCTATTTTTTTTATTTTGAGGGAACCCCCAGTTCAGTTAAAATAAGTTGTCTGACTCCAAGGAAAACATCAGTTATCTGGCCATGCAGAAGTCATGAGGTGGGAATCCCAATTGCTCTGTGATAGTTTAATGTATTGTCTGACTTAGCTGATCTGCCATACCTTATGTCCTATTGGGGTTAGATAATAAGTGAATGAGTGAATTTTTTTTTTCTGGCTTGGTTTCTCTGAAATAATTGGCTTATATATACTAAGCAGTTACTTTATCTTTGGATCCTTGCCTACAGCCTTTTACCCTAGTTTTGTTTTCATTGTTTTCATAGGTGATGTGTATTTTTTTTATACTGTACATGAGCATTATTTGTTTGATTTAATATTAAATATGTATTACCAGATTCTGATTACAACACAACTGCATACAAATAAAAATATTTTATTTCTCTTCTGCAGTATACAGATAATGTAGGTTATATGTAATAAAATATTGTTAAGCACAAAAGAAAACCACTAGCATGTGGTGTATTTTGGGCAGTTGTCTACAATGGGTTTAATTTAATTTTACTCTTTTTCAGGTAATGGATGAAGTAAAAGAAGGCCTAAAGTATATTTTTCAAACTACTGCTGAGGTTGTGTGTTGTGTGAGTGGGACAGGACATGCTGGAATGGAGGCAACCATGTGTAATCTTTTGGAACCCAATGATGTCATTCTGATTGCACAGAATGGTATATGGGGTGAACGTGCTGCTGACATGGCTCGCAGACATGGTGAGTGGAGAGTTCATTCATATGCAGTTGCACTCTTTGGTTGCTTCTATGCTGCATTATGCTGATTGTTTCTTTAATCTTTTTGTTGCATTTTTAAAGCAGTATTATGTCAAAGTATTATTTTACTACTTGGTTTATTTGATTTTTCTATTTTCCTTTTTAAATTTGAAACCAATTATAACTAAAGAAAAATTATGCTATCTCTTACAAAAGATGCTGATGTGCGCCTGATAAAGAAACCTCCAGGTGATGTCTGTAGTCTGAATGAGCTTGAGTCAGCATTATTAAAACACAGGCCAGCCGTTCTTTTCTTGGTTCAAGGAGAGTCATCCACAGGAGCATTACAACCTTTAGAAGGTGTCGGAGCTCTTTGTAGAAAGTAAGAAACTATTCTAATTTTTCACTTTCTTTTTCTTAAATCTAAATTGCTGAAGGTCCCCCCCCATGATCTTTGTAAGGATCACATTCTCGACTAGGAATATAGCACAAGTCACACAGCTCTGTAACTCATTTCAGTAACTTGCAAGCCCAATTATAAGATTAATTGATATCACACGATTATCACTTCTCATTTCATAAGCCCTGATCTGTAGTAAGAATTCTGTATTTGTTCTATTTTTAAGTCTGACCTTTTTTTCTAATTCCCTATTGAGTGAACTGTACATTGTATGGGTAATACAGTCAAATAGCACACATTGAGTTACCCACATTACCCATACAGTGTATAGTTTACTCAGTGTGTGTAATTTGTGTATTGTTGAATAATTACTTATGTATGTAAAGTTAAAGCTTGTATACCACACAAATGCTTATCTTATTTTAGCTGTATTGTATAACAACTTTTAATCATTTACGTTATATTCTACAAATATGCCACATTATGTTGTTATAGCTACCTATCATAAATATTATTTTTTTAAGAAACCTTACTGTATTAACATCACCTTCCTTACAGATAAAACTGAAACTCTGTAAAACCTTTTTCATTCAGTTTTACTTTGAGTTTAGATCTACTCACAATGCTGTGCATAATAATGAATTTCCCTGTAACCAACAGTGCATACTTGAACCAGACTTGAGTCCTGGAGGTGGGAATACAGTGCCTGCACTCTAAAGGAGGGGTTTGGGATATAGTTCCTTTATATAAAGGGAAGGGGGACAAAAGAGATGGTAAATATTATAGGGGAATAAGTTTACTGAGTAAAACAAAAACCTGTGATTGTTTTACATGATGGTAGGATTGCTGGTGTCCTTTTTTCTGTCTCATAAACATGCAAGATTTCAGGTACGTCTTGCTACTTCTACTTATACGTAGGTCACACTACACGTACATGTACAAGCATATATATACACACCCCTCTGGGTTTTCTTCTATTTTCTTTCTAGTTCTTGTTCTTGTTTATTTCCTCTTATCTCCATGGGGAAGTGGAACAGAATTCTTCTCCGTAAGCCATGCTTGTCGTAAGAGGCGACTGAAATGCCGAGGGCAAGGGGCTAGTAACCCCTTCTCTTGTATAAATTACTAAATTTAAAAAGAGAAACTTGCGTTTTTCTTTTTGGGCCACCCTGCCTTGGTGGGATACGGCCTGTTTGTTAAAAAAAAAAAAGTTTACTGAGTATACCAGGTAAAGTGTATGGTAGGGTTATTATTGAAAGAATTAGAGGTAAGACAGAGAGTAGGATTGCAGATGAGCAAGGAGGCTTTAGAGTGGGTAGGGGATGTGTAGATCAAGTGTTTACATTAAAGCACATATGTGAACAATATTTAGATAAAGGTAGGAAGTTTTCATTGCATTTATGGATTTAGAAAAGACATATGATAGAGTGGATAGGGGAGCAATGTGGCAGATGTTACAAGTGTATGGAGTAGGTAGTAAGTTACTAAATGCTGTAAAGAGTTTTGATGAGGATAGTGAGGCTCAGGTTAGGGTGTATAGGAGAGAGGGAGATACTTCCCTGTAAAAGTAGGTCTTAGACAGGGATGTGTAATGTCACCATGGTGGTTTAATATATTTATAGATGGGGTTGTGAAAGAAAAAATGCTAGGGTGTTCAGGAGAGGGGTGGGATTAAATTATAGGGAATCAGGTACAAAATGGGAGTTGACACAGTTACTTTTTGCTGATGATACTGTGCTTATGGGAGATTCTAAAGAAAAGTTGCAAAGGTTAGTGAATGAGTTTGGGAGTGTGTGTAAAGGTAGAAAGTTGAAAGTGAACATGTATAAAAGTAAGGTGATGAGGATATCAAATGATTTAGATAAAGAAAAACTGATTATCACATTGGAGAGAGGGAGTATGGAAGATGTGATTGTTTTCAGATGTATGGGAGTTGATGTGTCAGCAGATGGGTTTATGAAGGTTGAGGTTAATCATAGAATTGATGAAGGAAACAAGGTGAGTGGTGCATTGAGGTACTTGTGGAGACAAAAAACGATATCCATGGAGGCAAAGAAGGGAATGTATGAAAGTATAGTGTCACCAACACTCTTATATGGGTGTGAAGCTTGGGTTGTAAATGCTTCAGCAAGGAGGATGCTGGAGGCAGTGGAGATGTCCTGTCTAAGGGCAATGTGTAGTGTAAATATTATGCAGAGAATTCAGTGTGTGGAAATTAGGAGAAGGTGTGGAGTTAATAAAAGTATTAGTCAGAGGGCTGAAGAGGGGTTGTTGAGGTGGTTTTGTCATTTAGAGAGAATGGATCAAAGTAAAATGACTTAGAGAGCATATAAATCTGTAGGGGAAAGAAAGGTGGGGTAGGGGTCATCCTCAAAAAAGTTGGAGGGAGGGGGTAAAGGAGATTTTGTGGGCGAGGGGCTTGGATTTCCAGCAAGCATATGTGAACATGTTAGATAGGAGTGAATGGAGACTAATGGTTTTTGGGACATGACGATCTGTTGGAGTGTGAGCAGAGAAATATTTAGTGAAGGGATTCAGGGAAACTGGTTTTTTTTGTATAGCCGTACTTGAGTACTGGAAATGGGAAGTATAATGCCTGCACTTTACAGGAGGGGTTTGGGATATTGGGAGCTTGGAGGGATATGTTATATATCTTTATATGTGCTTCTAAACTGTTGTATCTGGGTGCCTCTGCAAAGACAGTGATTATGTGTGAGTGAGGTGAAAGTGTTGAATGATGATGAAAGTACGTACTTTCTTTTTGGGGATTTTCTTTCTTTTTGGGTCACCCTGCCTCGGTGGGAGATGGCCAACTTGTTGAAAAAAAAATATATTATATTTGGTTTCAGGCATGGAGTTTTGCTTGCAGTAGACACTGTGGCATCCCTTGGAGGTGTACCATTCTTCATGGATTCTTGGGAAATTGATGTTGTATATACAGGTTCTCAAAAAGTCATTTCTGCACCACCATCAGTGGCTCCAATTGCTTTCAATGACCGTGCCATGTGAGTAATGCTAACAATTTTTTTGCTTAGAAATAATGTTTGGTTCTAGTAATATTGTGTATTGTTTCACAACAAGCCCAAAAAGTAGAAGTGAAAACTGAGCATTGGTTTGACTTAGATCATTATTGGGCCCACAGTGGGTAGAAAAATAGTTTATAGTATATGAATATTCTGCATACCTGATTGTCCATTAAAGTATCTTTGTTTCCTGTTACTGTGCTTCAGAGAGTGCAGTGCATTGAAACACATGTCAAATAATTCTCTTTATAGTGTAAGTAGTCGAGCAACAGTGAAAAAAGTCAATCTTATTGACTCAGTATTAGATTTCATTCAGGTGCATCAAGTACCGCAAGATGTTTACTTTATAAACTGGAACTTTACTGAAAAAAAAACAAATAAAAGCACTCCCTTTCCTGCAGTGATCATCGTTCTAAAATAACCCAGCATAAGGATTACTAAGGAACTGACATAATAGGGTTCGTGCCAGACCATATCTGAAAATAAGATTATATATAGAAAGTTCCACTGTACTTTTAATATCTGATAAATATGAGCTAAATATATGTAGATTTAGCAATTGAAACAACTGACCATAATGTTTTGTCTTTTACAGGGAGAAAGTTCGCACTCGCAAAACACCCATACGAAGTTTCTACTTGGACATAACGTGGCTGGCAAACTACTGGGGGTGTGATGGATTGCCTCGCAAGTAAGTTTAGTAGAATTGATTAAGATATGATGTACCTACTTTGTACAGTACCTAATGAAAATTCTATTTTTTTTTTTCTCACCAGTATTTAGCTTATAAGATCCTGTCTAGTGTTGATATTTATATTGATGAGCTCTCACTCACATCTGTTCTCTTCTATATAAATTACGATACAAAAGTGTCCTTGATTACCAACGATGGATGTGATAAAACAAGTTTCTTTTAAGTAATAATATACATATGTGGAAGGGCTTTATCTAGCCTTGCTGGCATAGGTAAAGACTGATAGTAACGAGTAAAATTGTTCAGATATTATGGTTGTGTGTGAAATAACAATGTGAATAGAGTTCATGAAGTAATACAGAAAATCCAAGTGAGTTCAAATAAATACAGTACATGGTATGTGTATGATATGATAAAGAAAGAATTTTCCAAGAAATCCATGTCAGAAAGCACAAAAAGGAAACGAACTTACAAGTAACATTGGCTATAATGAAAGTAGGACGGAAATCACCAGAGGGCGCGAATGGAAACTGATCATGTCTATCTATATAAATGTATGAAAAACAGTTAGTGTAACATGGAATGATAAAAATATAAAGTATATAACATATGTAAGTATAGACAAGTGTATAACTGTAGTAACCAGATAAAATTAGAGATTTGGACATGACGACTGAATCAATATAATAGGGTGACTCCATAGGGAAGTAAGAAATTTGTTGATAATATAGATGAGTTTCAGGGATGAGTAGATAGAGAAGGCTGTTTTGCAAGGGTGCAAATATGAGTTGAATGAGTGTAAATGTACAATACTTTTATACGTACATTGGCTATAAGTAAGTATAGAAGGGAATAGCTAATGCTTCATCATGATATTATCTATTGTATGTGGTGTGATGACCAAAGTTTAGTGCTTGTTTTGAAAAATAATACAGGTTACCACCCGGTTAACGAATTGTTTTATTTCAGAAAGTAAGTTTCAGTGCCAGTACTGACTCGAATATTGGTTCCAATAAGGAAATATTGTGAATAGATTAGTCATTTCAGCAGACCCCCAAACTTAAGGTGCAAATGGAGTTTAATAAATACATACTTTATAATTGGTTGCATATGGGAGTGATGTTAATGGGGTTCCTGGATATTTATATGTTTCTGTGTACAACCCAAAATTATAGTGTTTTTTGAAAATAATAATACAGTGGACCCCCGGTTAACGATATTTTTTCATTTCAGAAGTATGTTCAGGTGCCAGTACTGACCGAATTTGTTCCCATAAGGAATATTGTGAAGTAGATTAGTCCATTTCAGACCCCCAAACATACACATACAAATGCACTTACATAAATACACTTACATAATTGGTTGCATTGGGAGGTGATCGTTAAGCGGGGGTCCACTGTATATGTAGGTAATAGTTTCCTGTGATACAAACTTTCCAAAATTCTTTGGTAGGTTGGTTGCCAATGTTTATTTTTTCCACAGATATCACCATACAGGACCTGTTAGCTCTGTATATGCATTGCGAGAAGCTTTGTCCATGGTGAGTGAGGAAGGCCTCCATGCCCTCTGGTCCCGCCACTCCTCTTGTGCCCAAAGACTGTACAGTGGTTTAGAAGCTCTTGGCTTGAGGTTGTTTATCGCTGATCCTGCCAAACGAACACCAACTGTTACCACTATTTGCATCCCAGAGGGTGTTGACTGGATGAAGGTGACCAAATACTTTATGTCCAAGTTAGTATGAAATCCTGTTTTATTTTCATACTTGCATATTTTGGTTATCATACTTGTAATTTAAAGGCATTATGTATAGTATTATCAGCCTCCCCTTCTGTTTTTCACTTATTAAATTAAATGTTTCTTTTCATTTTACCAATTTATTCTTCGAAGTAGGAATGTATGATGCATAGAAGAAATGGAACTAGCATGAAAAGTACATTCAGAAAGTTGCCTTCAACCTATACTTTCATGGTCATTCCCTTCAATGGAGGTTTGTGAAACGAATGAGGCATTGGAGGTATAAAAACATTTGATCCCAGTAGTAATAGATTTGATTTATTAAGTCAGTGTGACTTCAGTTTGTAGATATTTCTTTGATGAATGATGGTACAGTGGACCCCTGCCCAACGGTGGCATCAAGTAACGACAAATTCGTCTAACAGCGCTCTTTGGCGTAAAAAAATGGCTTTACCAACGGCGAAAAACTCGTCTAATGGCGTTCGGCCTGAGTGGGCCCAGCCACTCCAAGACTCAGTGTGCCATTGTTTTCAAGCCGTTGTGGTTGATTCCACGTGTACCTGCGATATATTTTGTTTATTCCAGTGTTTTCAGTGCTTGTAACTGCTAAATAAGCCACCATGGGCTCCAAGAAAGCTTCTAGTGCCAAGCCTGTGGTAAAAAGGGTGAGAATTACGATGGAAATGAAGAAAGAAATCGTTGAAAAATACAAAAGTGGAGTGCGTATGTCCGAGTTGGAAAGGCTGTACAACAAATCCCATTCAACCATCAGTACTATATTGGACCTGCAAGAGCCTCAGGTGCAACAGCAACAGATCACATCTCAGGAATGTTCTTCAGAGCAGGAGGAAGAGAGACAGAGGAAGATGACTTCGTCAAGGATTAGGGAAATGTGTACACTGTTTACAAAGGTGCAAGCATGTATCGATGAATTTTATCCTGTCATAACTGTTGCAAGTCATATTGGCAACATGTACAATGACACTCTTGTGTCCCATTTTAGGGAAATCCTAAGGGCACATGAGAAACAGAGCTCTCTGGACAGATTTTTGGTGCGACAGGGGTCCAGTGACTCTCAAGCTGGTCCTAGTGGCATTAAAACACCAAGAAGGGAGGTAACCCCACCAAAGGACTTAGTACTTGAAGTCTGCATCATCTGCGTCATCTGCCCTCCTACCGTCTCATCACTCATCAACAACTCCACAATAAAGGTAAGTGGCATTTAATTGTTTATTTTGCATGTCCCATTTGTTTTTGTGTAGGGAAATGTATATCTCATTTAAAAAAAATTATTTTGTTTAATACTTTTGGGTGTCTGGAATGGATTAATTCTATTTCCATTATTTCTTATAGGGAAAATTAATTCGACTGACGGCAAGTTCGACTAACAGCTAGCTCTCTGGAATGGATTAATGCCGTTGGTCAATTCAATTCAATTCAGGTTTATTCTCTATAAGGGTTACAATGTGGGGTTTACAGGTTTTGGGAATTTTGTGGTTTACATGTTATAAAATACTAATTACAGAGGGGGCCACTAGGACACCTAGCATGGCTAGGCATTTCGAACAGACTTAGATTAATTCTTAACATTAAATCCTTACAGATTATAGTATTAAGGCTAAGTGACTACATCATAATTTGTGAGTTTAGCAATGTGAATGCTTTTGTTTTGGCACAATACAAGGTGTCTATATTTGAGTATCATAGGCAAACTTATGACTAGTTAGGATTTATTATTTTTAGATTAAGATTAGTATTTCTGGGTTTATAGTCAGTGGGTGAGTGAGTGTAATTTTGAACCACCAGGTGGTTATCATGTAGTTAGTTGTCGGGGTGGATCAGGGAGATAAGATGTTTTCTAACTGTAGTTTTGAAAGTGATGAATGTGTCTGCAGTTTTAGAGTTTTCAGGTAGGGTGTTCCAGATTTTAGTTCCTTTGAAATACATAGAATTTTTGTAAAGGTTTAGTCGAACACGGGGAATATCATAGAGATGTTTGTGTCTGGTGTTATGCCTGTGGATCCTGTCACAACTATCAAGAAAGCGTTTTAGGTCAAGGTTAATATTGGAATTGAAGGTCCTGTAGATATAGATTGCACAGTAGTAAGTGTGGATGTTCTGAACAGGGAGTAAGTTTAGATCTATGAAGAGTGGGGGGGGGTGTTGCCAGGGATGGGATTTAGTTATTATTCTTACTGTGGCTTTTTGTTGGGTTATTATTGGCTTTAGGTGTGTTGCTGCAGTTGAACCCCAAGCACAGATAGCATAGGTGAGGTATGGATATATAAGTGAATGGTATAGTGTGAGAAGGGCAGCTTGCGGTACGTAGTATCGTATCTTGCAGAGGATCCCCACCATTTTGGATACTTTTTTTGTTATGTGTTGGATATGGGTGCTGAAATTTAGGTTGTTGTCGAGGTATAGGCCAAGGAATTTGCCCTCATTGTGTCTGGCAATTAGAGTGTTGTCGATCTTAATGCTAAGTTGCGCAACACCTGCTCTGCTACCAAACATAATATGTATAGTAGGTTTTGCCAGTGTTAAGTGTAAGTTTATTGGCTGATCAGCTCCTCGTTAACAATGGTGTTGAGGGTGGTAAGATTAGGGTGGGAGATGACATAAGTCGTGTCGTCAGCAAAGAGAATGGGTTTCAGGTGTTGGGATATGTTTGGAAGATCATTGATGTAAATGAGGAAGAGCAGGGGTCCAAGGACACTTCCCTGCGGAACTCCAGTATCAAGTGGCCGTATTGATGAGGCTGTGTCTTTAATGGTGACATACTGATACCTATTAGAAAGGTAGGATTTAAAATATGCAAGTGCATGGCCTCTTATACCATAGTGGTCAAGTTTGTGGAGTAGGATGCCGTGGTCTGCTGTGTCAAACGCTTTTCTTAGGTCAATAAAAATTCCTAGTGGATATTCCTTATTTTCCAATGCTGTGTAAAGCAGGTCTAGCATTTTTATAATTGCATCCTTAGTGCTTTTATTTTTCCTGAATCCAAATTGGCAGGGGTTGAGTATGTTTTGTGACGTTATAAATGAATATAGTCTCCTGTGCACAAGTTTCTCGAAGATTTTGGATAGCAATGGTAAGTTTGATATTTGCCTATAGTTGTTAACATCTGTAGGGTCACCACCTTTATGTATTGGTGTAACCCTTGCTGTCTTGAGTAGTGTCGGGAAAGTGCTAGTTTCTAGTGACTTGTTAAAAAGTAATGTATATGTCTTAAAGCATTAGTAATCAGTCAAGTATTTTCTTCTGCTTAATAAGTATTTTTCCCTAGGCAACTCTAAAGAACTGGGTAAATTGGAAGTTGATGGAAATGTTGTAAATCTATCCTTATTTTTTATTTTTATTATTAACGCACTGGCCGATTCCCACCAAGGCAGGGTGGCCCGAAAAAGAAAAAGTTTCACCATCATTCACTCCATCACTGTCTTGCCAGAAGGGTGCTTTACACTACAGTTTTTAAACTGCAACATTAACACCCCTCCTTCAGAGTGCAGGCACTGTACTTCCCATCTCCAGGACTCAAGTCCGGCCTGCCGGTTTCCCTGAATCCCTTCATAAATGTTACTTTGCTCACACTCCAACAGCACGTCAAGTATTAAAAACCATTTGTCTCCATTCACTCCTATCAAACACGCTCACGCATGCCTGCTGGAAGTCCAAGCCCCTCGCACACAAAACCTCCTTTACCCCCTCCCTCCAACCTTTCCTAGGCTGACCCTTACCCCGCCTTCCTTCCACTACAGACTGATACACTCTTGAAGTCATTCTGTTTCGCTCCATTCTCTCTACATGTCCGAACCACTTCAACAACCCTTCCTCAGCCCTCTGGACAACAGTTTTGGTAATCCCGCACCTCCTCCTAACTTCCAAACTACAAATTCTCTGCATTATATTCACACCACACATTGCCCTCAGACATGACATCTCCACTGCCTGCAGCCTTCTCCTCGCTGCAACATTCATCACCCATGCTTCACACCCATATAAGAGCCTTGGTAAAACTATACTCTCATACATTCCCCTCTTTGCCTCCAAGGACAAAGTTCTTTGTCTCCACAGACTCCTAAGTGCACCACTCACCCTTTTCCCTTCATCAATTCTATGATTCACCTCATCTTTCATAGACCCATCCGCTGACACGTCCACTCCCAAATATCTGAATACGTTCACCTCCTCTATACTCTCTCCCTCCAATCTGATAACCAATCTTTCATCACCTAATCTTTTTGTTATCCTCATAACCTTACTCTTTCCTATATTTACTTTTAATTTTCTTCTTTTACATACCCTACCAAATTCATCCACCAACCTCTGCAACTTCTCTTCAGAATCTCCCAAGAGCACAGTGTCATCAGCAAAGAGCAACTGTGACAACTCCCACTTTATGTGTGATTCTTTATCTTTTAACTCCACGCCTCTTGCCAAGACCCTTGCATTTACTTCTCTTACAACCCCATCTATAAATATATTTCTTATTTCTCTCCAAAAAATTCGATCTTGCAAAAATAAGAAAATACAGTAACTTCAAACTTTATTTTGAAGTCACTGGTGAAGTAATGTGGCATTGTAGATATGACCCTTAAAACTTTATGAAACTAACATTTTACTTATAATTTGCTTATGTATATTTGAATAACAAAATATTGTTTAGATTTTATTCTAATTAAAACTGTCTAACTTTACTGTTGGTCGGTATATGTTAGCACTTTTTAATATCTCATTTATCATTGCATGTCAACCTGCATAAACTGCATAGAATGATTTTTAAACTTTAATATATTTGTAATTAATGATTACTGTATTTCCTTACTGTATATATTTCTGTAATGCACCTGAGAATGCACTTGTGGCAAGATCTGTATTGAAATGTTGCAGCAATTACTGTCTTTGGTAACATTAAATGAACCACATTATTCACACAGGTACCAGGTGGAAGTAAGTGGTGGTTTGGGACCTACTGCGGGCAAAGTGTGGAGAATTGGCCTCATGGGTTATAATTGCATCCCAGAAAATGTGGACAAGGTACTGAAGATTATGAAAGAAGCTTTAGCAAATGAACCATTATTAAAAAGCAATTTGTAATGTCAGGCTTTTAATTAGGATCATAAGGACTTTGTGGTGTTCCACAAAGGAACTGATGGTGTATGTTTCAAAGTGAATAATACATTTGCAGTAAATCAACAGATTCCCATAAAGATTATTTTTTTTTTTACAGTAACTTGGACCAATATTTGGACAATATAATTTCTTCTGGCTGTCTGACCAGTCTTAATATATGCGATAATTAGATAACTAAAGATTATTTTAAACTTGGTTCATGCAATGATACTTTTCCTTGACTACACATATGTGTGGTACAGTGTTTAATTAAGTATAGAATGGAAGCTAGAAGGGGCAAGGGTTATTCCAGAATGGTTGGAAGGAAAGGGTGAGAAAAAGTGGCTTTTGAGTTTTAGGAACCTGGCCATCTGGCAGGCTTGTACGAGTATACTATATAGAAGTTTAATGGACTTGCTGTTGGTTTAAGAGCAAGGTAATTATTCTGAAGGTATTTAGGAAATGCCAGTTAACCAGACTTAAGGGTCCAGGAAATGGGAAGAGGAGTACCTGCACTCTGAAGGAGGGCTGATGATGTTGCAGTCAAAGGGAAATCGGAATTGTGACATCACACTTTTGGAAAGGGTGATTGAATGAATGATGGTGCATACATTTTCTTATTTGGGTCACACCACCTTGACAGAAAACAGCACTTGGGATAAAGAAAAAAAAAGCATATTTGTTTTCAGCTTAATGCAGCACTGTATGACCCTTATGGGTTTAGCTCTTAGTTATGATTATAATAATTTGAGGTTAATAATAGGGGTCTTTCATGTTTATTATTAGGTTATTATTATAGTTTTACATATTAAAACTTATACAATAGGTAAGTTGTCAAACTGCATTATTGTATAGAAATGTTAATTTTCTCATTTTACTACTTAAAATATATCCAGTTTCATATATTTAGTAAAATTTATGTATAACATTAAAAATCTAGTCACATTACTATTTACATAAAAAATTCTAATTATTTTTAAAGCTGCTGAGTGATCAGAGTTAAAAACATCAGACTAATCAAATACTTTTAAAATTTTGATTCCTAAGCTTTCTATAACTACACTATTTATGGAGTTTCTTAAAGAGTGATACTTTACTAAAAATGTATTAAGCACTAACATGTAAGAATAGTGAACTAATTGGGTTTAAATCCCCATGGAAGCACACCCACAAAAGTAATGAAATGGCATTACAGTATTATTACAATGATTTTTTTTTTCAAGTCGGCCGTGTCCCACCGAAGCAGGGTGATAATAATTAATAATAATACGTAATTAATAATACATAATCAATAATAATAATAATACATAATTAATAATATGTAATTAATAATAATCCGAGGGAAGCACTAAACTTTTAGGGTCGTACAGCACACAGGAAATCAGAGGCAATCAGGTTTGATTTAAGGGAGTATAGGTCCACTTCCATGGATCAAGAGCTCCCTCACTAGTATCAAGGCATCTCAAGGGAATAAAATGGCATAAAAAAAAAGCATAGGTGTTCAAAATTTGGTACAAAGCAAGAGTGATGGGTCATTTAAAGGTGGTTTGATGTTAACAACTTTTGCCCTTAAAGGGCGGTATCTCAATATCAGTGATGACCCCTTGATGCAAAGAACTGGACCTCTCTTAAATTTCCTTGAATCAAACCTAATTCTCTCCTATTTCCCCAGGTGCTGTATGATCCCTAAGTAAAATAATAGTATAATTTAGAGTTTATACTATTTATAAATATATGGTTTAAACGTAATGTCTGTGTCAAAAATTATTAGTAAAATATTTATATGACAATGAAGCTGGGAAATTTAAGAGAGGCTTAGTCTGTTAACATTAACACTTTGCCAAAGCTCAATAAATATTACATATCAAGAGGAAATAATTTCATACCAGGAATGATTAAGTTACTGTATTATGAATTTTATTATATACTGCACTATATTATGTAAACTGTAACTAAGTAATGGTGAATTAATTAATTACCACATTGTGTAGTGTGCAATTTAATTACCTTGAGAACTACAAATTTCTAAGAACTTTTGTGATCTCTCAATTGCATTCTCAAGGACTATACTTTGAAAGCATGACTGAGGGAACATGAAAGTGCTTGGAATTTAATGCCTTTTCAACATGATTAAATTGCATATTAAAATATCACTTGTTTCTTGTGATTTGATTATATCATGTACAGTAAAAATTATGAAGTGCAATTACAATACAAGTTGATATAACCTATCAACAGTATTTTGGACTGTATGTACACTGCAGATAAGCAGGAGTGGGATGGGAGATTTTATAGTCTTGATTCACCCCAGTACACATGAAAGAAAATACATAGTACACTATCAGCTGCAACTCATTTCAGTTACACACAATCATGTGAATAAAATCTATATTGTACTGTTGTATTTTTACACAAACATTCACAAGCAAATTAATAAAAATGTTTACCCTGCTTAACTGACTGATACTTCTATCCTTGTTCATGTGTCAATGAATCTTGCCTAGGTTAACTAGAAAAAAAATAAAACATTTAAAAAAACAGATACACTATCAACCCTTGAAAGGTGGTGTGGTGCCTTCATGCTGGTGAAGGGCTCCTTATCTTTCCTTGGATCAAATCTGATTACCTCATTTTCCAGGCACTGTATGAACTTGTAGGTTTAGTACTTTCCCATTAGTATAATAATACAGTATCAATACTGTACCAAGAAACAGTTTAAAATTACTTAAAGGATGAATTCAAATTAGCATGTAAAAATTGGATGGAGGTGGCAATTCAATGTACAGTATACTAGACACCCAGCTAAAAAATATTAAGTTATTAATAATAATGCAAAAAGAGTATTGTGTCAGACTGTCACATTTATGAGAGAGGGTGAGAGAGAGTATTAGAGAAGGGAGTGAGACAAATAAATGTAGTAATGTGTGTATTATATATCAGAGCATTAAAAACAGTGTACAGTAAAATGAACTAGTAATACTGTATATTTAACCCTTTGACTGTTTTCGACGTATAAATACGTCTTACGAGCCAATGTTTCTGACGTATATATACTCAATAATTCTAGCGGCTTCAAATCAAGTGGGAGAAAGCTGGTAGGCCCACATGTGAGAGAATGGGTCTGTGTGGTCAGTGTGCACCACATAAAAAAAATCCTGCAGCACACATTGCGTAATGAGAAAAAAAAAAACTCTGATCGTTTTTTTGGAATAAAACGCCGACTTTGAGGTATATTTTCGTATAGTATTTATCGTTGTATTCGCGTTTTCATGGTCTTAGGTGATAAAATGGAAAACATATTACAGAAATAGAGATGATTTTCATTACTTTTATGATGAAAACGACCTTGAAACTGAGCTCAAAGTAGCAGAAATGTTCGATTTTTACCAATGTTCAAGAGTAAATAAATCACACCACACGTCAAATACACGTCAACTGGGGAGTCTAATATTCTTTCACTAGTGCACTGATATTATTTATACCATTTTTACAATAATGCAGTCGTCTGCATAACAGTAAATTTTGTATTTTTTTGTATGAATAAAAAATCAAAATAGAAAGCAATAATAATATAAGAGGGGCCTAGAGATGTGACTAATGAACAGAGCATATGTTATTTTAGTGCCACGAATGTCTACCTTGTTTATTCTGGACCCTATTTTGAAATTGGCATCTTTTTTATTTTGCGTGAAATTGGCCAAATTGCCAATTTCTGACCACCATATTGGGTAGTCCAAATTAGTAAATGGGAGGTTTCTTGTACTCAGCTGATAGATAAAATGGAGTTCTAAAGAAATAGCTATGAGTTTGGTCAACTGGAACAATGGAATTGGCTGAAAATTGGGCTCAAAGTCGGCGAAATCGCCGATACGCATATGTCGCCGAGACCGCTAACTTCGCGGGAGCATAATTCCACGAGTTTTCGACCAAATTTCGAACTTTTGGTGTCATTACCATCGGGAAAAGATTCTCTATCATTTCATAAGAAAAAATAATTTTTTTTTTTCAAAAATTGAGCGACATAGAATGACAGTTTCAGAGAGGGGCCTGAAACAGTCAAAGGGTTAAAACCAGCTGGTGAGACTGATCCAGAAAATATTAAACTTATGATTAAAAGTAAGATGTCATGGAAACAAAGTGAGGTAATCAAAATGGAATGTGAAATTACACAGTAATGGGTATCTGGTAATATGATGCCATTTCCAATAAGCTGGAAAAATACATCATGAGCTACATGGCTAACTAAATTAATGTAAGTGTGGCATTATAAAATCTTATTACCCCATGCACTAAGCTGAAAACCCTATGACCAAACCCTAAAAAATGATTGCTAGTACAAACAATTGCATTATAATTCAGATTTTCTCGTTTTCTCAGAGTCTCCTTTCTTCCTTTTGTCATTTCTTTTTGTCTCTTTGTGGCCTTCACTGGAATTGCTGTCAATGTCTTCCCCAAAGGGCTGAGAGAGACAATTCCTTTCTTCAAGAATTTTCAAACAAACAGCTTCTTGAAGACTGGTCTCTTGATCTCCAAAATACCAATCACTAATGTCTTCCTCGTAATCCTCAATGAAACCCTCACACTGAAAAAACAAACTGTTAAATGTCTAAAAAAAAAAAAAAAAAAAAAAAAAAAAAAAAAAATCACATTCACAAAATAATGTATAGTTGTATGTACAACTGTATTAGTTTAAGTATACCTCATCTAACTGCTAAATTCTTATTTAACACTTGAACAAATGAGAGTATCCAACTGCTAATACTTCAGATGCTCACCTGAGTCTTCAAATGCGCTACTTCTGCTGAAGGTTCATCCCATAGCTCCTGAGGAATTCCAAGGTCAACTTTCACACCCTTGTTTCTGTAATATAAAAGTAGCAGTTCTGTATACAAACTATTGTTAATGTGCACTTTGTTAATGGATACGTTTATTTTAATCGGAAAAGTGCTAAACCAAAGGGGTCAAACCACCTGGGGTAAGGGAGATATCAGCTTTGATCCAAGAAGGAAAAAAAAAAAAGAGTCCAGTTCCTTGAATCAACAGCCTCCTCACTGGCATCAGAATGTTCCCCTTGAAGGAATAAAAATGCATAAACTGTCAAAAATGGCATTATGTCAAGTCATAAAACTTTGACTTGCAAGAACTGATGATGACCAGTGAGGCAGGTTATGGCTATAGTATTCAATACAAGATGATAAATAAAAAATTGCAATTAATCACCATTATATTATGAACAAGCATGAAAATTAGTCAATAATTACACAAGACTGTGAAGTGTCTGGAAGGTTTGACTCATCTTCTTGGCCCAACGAGTGGAATCTTTCCGCTCCTTGTGAACCCGGTAATCGAGCATACCTTCGCACACCTCCTCTAACGTTTCCACCAGCCTCAGCTCTCTGTGTATATAATTCCCAGTGTTAGCTTATGATACAGTAGTTCACGTGCGCTAAATACAATAATTCAAAATTATAAGTACAGCCTCTTCTCACTTAACGACATAGTTCCGTTGCTAAAACCACATTGGTAAGTGAGGAGCATACTAATGGCAGTGGGTTTGTGTCAACTATCTTTGATATTGTTTTAGTGTCACCTTTGCACCATTTGTAACATTCTGGTATATTTTTAAATGTTTATACAGTAGTGTACTGTATATTGTAATTAACAGTATAGAAGAAATCAGCTCTAATATACATTATTTAGGCATGCATACTGGTCAGAGAGCCTGTCATAAGTCTGAGGAGTCAATAAACGAGTACATCGCTAAGTAAGGAGAGGCTGTATTTCCATTTCCATACATGCATACCATATTGTGCCAAAAGATACTGAAGTTTACCACAAGTGATGTGAGAGGAAAAAACAACTGAGTCATGTATGAGGAATTATTTCAACTTCATTCTCATGTGCACAAAGGTTATAATACTTACAGCGAAACCTCGGTACTTGAACTTAATTCATTCCAGAAGGCTGTTTGAGTTCTGAACAAATTTTTCCCACAAGGAATAATGTAAATTAGATTAATCCATTTCAGACCCTCAAAAATACACTTACAGCGACTTTGCAGTGTAGTTTTGTATGGTATTTATAATCGTATTCTCATTTTATTGGTCTCATCTGATAGAATGAAAGATATATTACAGAAATATAGATGATTTTGAATGGTTTACAGAATAAAAGTACTTTCAAATTGAGCTCAAAGTAGTGGAAATGTTCGATTTTTGTTGATGTTCAAGAAATACAATGTTGTGTAATTATGCTAATATTAGTAATAGAGGTTATTTATCTATCAAATTTATTCCAACTTGATATCAAAAACACGATAGATAACCTAGAAGCACAATAAAGACACCGAAATTAATAATAAAAGCCATATATATGGAGAGGCGAAGGTGGTGTTTACATGAGGGTAAACATGCTCTAAGCAATATTATTTTTGGTTGGCTGTTATCACTAATCTTTTTAGGCCCCATGGTGACTTATTTATACAAATATAAAAGAACACCAAAAAATGCAAAGAAATACAAAATAGTTTACAGTGAAGTTCAGCAGAGTTTTGGACTGAGCGACAGCTGCAGGGAGATTGACGCACATGTTCTGGCAGGTCATGTTCATTTTGTTGTGTACCAAGCAAACAGTCGACTACTGAGCAATTTCTTTAACCAAACAAAGCGTTCGAGTACCAAATTGTTCAAGTACAGAGCTGTTTGAGTACCGAGGTTCCACTGTACACTGTGCTGAGTATTTTGCACTAAACACGTTATTTTATATTATCCAACTAGAAATAACATAACAGTATCCTGTAATAAAAAAAAATGTGGTCTTGACAAATAAAACTTATATAATCTGACATGCAAAGTAAATAAACAATTACCATTTCTATTTTTTGCTAAGCTGAGAAAAAATGCTCTGCAATAAACCCTTGATTTAGCAAACTTATAGGGAGGAGTTGGTGGCTGGTAATGACAACTGTGGTGGATAGATAAGTTTTATTATCATGACTTGAACAATAATGAAAATTTTTATAACCAACAAAGTCCACTGGTTAAAGAAGTCCAGAAAACAATGGACTTTGTTGTTTTCGAATTAGTTGACCCAGTGGATTTTGTGTATTTCCAAAGTCCATTAAACCAAGGTTCACTAAATCAGCAGATTACTGTACTTTGCTACCCTGTCAAGGAATATTCCTCGATCAAGGAATTCGACCTGACCTACATTTCCTTGGTTCAAACCTGATTGCTTCAATCATCACTGCTGATCAATGACATTCAACAGAGGAGATCTTCACTATGGCTGTCACATACAGTAGTTCCTATAAGTGTATTATTGGTACAAGGTTGGTACATTTGTTGCTTGAATCCCCCAGGTGCCGTATGACTCCTTACAAATTTAGTGCTAGCCCCCTCCATGAATGAATGATAGTATGCTTTACATAAAACAAAATATGCAAAATGTATATGGGAAGCTGACAAGGGACAATGTTTATATTTGAATAGGTCACAGTAAAGGCAAGGTTGTATTCTATATAAAACAATACTTTATCAACAAAAATTGAATATTATATTAGTTATTTGCCAAAGATAACTTGACAGATATTTCATTAGATAATGAATATAAAATGTGACAGCTACAAAGAGACTGAATGGAACTTATTAAATACACAGTATACATGCTTCATGTGAAGGCTACTGTAAAATACTTTTATTGTATAATTCTGAAATCTCTCCGAATGTTTTTTATTAATCGGGAATAAAATTGAAAAATTTGAAATTAGCACCATTGTAATAATGGTGCCCAGAGGAGATATGACTTTGATCACTGCAATACAAGCTTCATTAAATACAATACGATAATGGGCATAAACAATTAAATTATGTAAACAGTAAAACAAAAAAGAACCTGGAAAAAATTAAGGGTAAATTTTAACAAATATGAACCATAAAATAGATACTTTATATTACATCAGTGATACCTATTACAAGGAAAAAGTCATTATTGACACTACTGTACTTACGATTTGTTATATTTTGTTTTCTTTTTCTTGGCGTCTATATTATATCCTGTTTCTATAACCCCAGATGAGTCTTTAGCTTCCAGTCTCTCACCAACCTCCTTAGCCACCAGTTTACACACTGCAAAAATAATTATATGTAATGTATGATTTGTATGTACAGTTCACCAATTTTTTTAAACATAAGTACAATACAGTAAACCCTATCACAGCATGAAGTTTCCTATAAATTGATTGTACCATAAAACTGTTACCTGACATGAAGAAAATATGGGAAAAGTAGGGTGTATTACGGAAATATTGCTACAGTAGCACTTTGGCTCCTCAAGGAGGGCGCTGTATAGTCCTTGTGGCTTAGCGCTTCTTTTTTGATTATAATAATAATAATCCTCAAGGAGGGTTTCCTGGATGCTGGTGAGGGGGTCTTGATACAGGAAATTGGACTTGTCCTTCCGTTTCTTAGACCAAACTTGTCTCTCATTCCCCAGGTACTATGTCCCCTGTGAGTTTAGCATTTCCCTATGAAATAATAACAATAATACTGTAATAATAATAATATAGTTTTTCTTGAAATGGAAGAGTGTGGAGGGGGTTGATATGAGTCTACTTGGTTAAGGTTCCTGTGTTAATGTGGATGCAGAATTGTCAGTAGTTAATGGTTAAATTGGATGCTCAAGTCTTATGTGATGCACCTCAGATATGTTTTACCCTGTTGCACTTTGTGGAGCTAGCAGGAAAGCTTAATGCTGTGAAGAAGGCTATGCTTTTTAAAATCTTAAAAACATCCAGTACAAAACATACACTCTTGTAAAAGATGTCTTTCCTTCTCACACACACACACACACACATACATACACACACACATAGTTGGACAGGACTTTGTTAAGTTTATTTAGGTACAGGTCCACATAAATAAAATTATCATACATAGTAACATATGTGTAAATTACCTAGGATAACCCCCAAAAAAGTCAAAGTGACTTATTTCCATTGACAGCTAAACAAAATTCTTATAGTGCTAGACCATAAACTATATAAGGCCCAATCCAATTTTTTAATTAAGCAAATGAAATTGCTCAAATTAAAAACAACTGAATCCTGGAGTATACCTGGAGTACTAATTCAGTGAAATATCTGGGAATCCCCTTTGATCCAAGCCTGTCAGGAGAACTAATAGGGAACAGTGTCTACCTACTGAAGCTCGAAGGACCCTATGTCTAGCTCTCATACAATGTATTATAGACTACTCTTGCTGTTCATGGTACTCTACCTTAGCAAATAAACTGAAAGATAAGCTACAAATCACCCAGAACAAAATGGTAAGATTCATTCTGGACCTGGATCCAAGAGAACATTGAGGACAGAATGAATTACAACTGGATATGGTGAATGTTGAAGACAGAGTAAAATAACTGAAATTATATTACATTTATAAAATTGTAATAAAGTTGGTAGAATTACCGACAATATGTAAAGTAAAAGGACACAAGTGCAACTAATGTGACATTTATTGTGGCTTGATAAAGCTCCTGGAGAGCGAAACGTTGCCACAATAAATGTCACATTAGTTGCACTTGTGTCCTTTTACTTTACATTTATAAAATTGCTCACAACCAGTATCCCCAGTATCTTACTGCCGGGAACCAAAGCAATTATAGTACTAGGTTAAGTGAGAACAACTTTGTAGTACCCACAGTCAGTAGTCAGGCTTCAAGGACATTTTATTGTACAACAATAAAGGAATGGAATAGACTACCTGTACATGTTGAAGCCTCTCAGTATGAGCCAGTTCAAGACAGCCAAAATGTACCTAATGAATATGGCTACAGAAACAGAGGAGAATTTCTTCTATATTTAACATACATGTATAATGATCTGATACTATATTTAATGTCAATGTAAGTATCTGATTTTACCTTACCCCTACTGTTCACATCATTAAGAGACTTATCTTTTTTAACCTTTAAATACATTTAATACTTATCGCAAGGACCTCAATGGAAATAAGTCACCCTGTCTGACTTTCTTGGGTTATCCTAGGTAATCTACACATATGCTGCTATGTATGATAATTTATTTAACTTCGTAGCTTAGGCTGGTTGGTGGCTTGGACCTGCCTAGCATGGGCCAGTAGGCCTGCTGCAGTGCTCCTTCCTTATGTTAATTTACGTGTACCTGTATCCGAATAAACTTACCTACAGTGCCTGGGGGAATTGGAGGCATTCAGGCTCGATCCAAGGAAGGAGAGAGCAGGTCCAATTCCTTGGATCAAGAGCCCCTTAACGGCATCAAGAAGCTTCCCGTGAAGGAACTAGAGCCCAGTCCTTGGGCACACCCACCTTCACAGTCGGTAGCAAATTTGACGCCATAATCCTCTTCCTCGATGTTCCTGCCACAGGAGGCCACCTGCACCAGTGCCACCAGTGCCACCATACACACTCTCACCTCCATCACTACCTTATCCACCTCGTTATTTTGTAATTTTTGCAAATGAGTGAAGGCGGGGACTATACAAAAGGACTACAATTAAAAAAATCGTATACAGGCTGCCGTCATAGCCTTGTTCTACAGTGGCTGGTATATCAGGCTTCAGCCTGCACGTGGACCTCAGACACAGGCATTGGTGACTATTTTTATAATCAGGGAAGCTGGGAACTGTTATTGTTGTTGTCGTTGGAGTGAAGGGTTGCGACGGTCTTAGAACCGTTAGTAAGTTTATTCAGGTATACACAAACACTGCCACCGTAGTATATAAGCCACCTCTCTGGCCCTGTGCTGCACTTCCTACGAGTGATGGACTGAACACATCGATTCCAGGTTGAGGGACTGATTACCTCAAACTTCTACTCTCCTTACCCATTTCTACTTTGTATTGGACTGATGAAGCCACTGTGTGGCGAAACGTTTCTTCAATAAAGATTCCCATGTGTTGCATAAGTGTCTCAATTCTTCATAATGCTCCAGTGCATGACCCTGTTTCTGTCCACACACTTTGTATTTTATGTCATTGACATCGTCATACAAACCGAACTGTCAGGGATATTTATAACCTAGTCTTAGTCTAGCAGCAACATCTTGCAATTTACTGACTGTAAAGTTAGGATAGGTAAGGTTTGTCAGGAAACAGACAAGAGTTTCCTGACGCGGGTCTTTGTCATACGATGACCCGCCGCTGGAGCTTTTGGCCATCTGACTAAGGCCTTCCACTGGCTTACCGGTCCACCTCTTTAAAAATTAATAGTTATTATTATTATTATAACTACTTGCTACTTACTATGTTACTTTCTCCGTATATATGTTTAACTTGACATATTTCATTATGATGGATAATGGACTACTGGTTAAGATCATAAGAAAGAACGCTGTAGCAAGCCTACTGGCCAATGTGAAGCAGGTCCAAGTCATCTACTGGCATATGCCACTGACCCAACCTAGTCACGTCCAGGTCACACCCACTTAAGGAAGAAGCACGGCATCATACCTACTAGCACAAGCTAGTCATGTCCAACTCACACCCACCCACACCCACTAACCTATTTTTAAAACTACACAATGTTTTAGCTTCTATGAGATGAGCTTTTATGAAAGAGCCACAGAATTTGGTTAACACAAGCCTATCTGATGTTATCCTGACGCCAAATGACTTCGAACAGGCGATAAATGACATGCCCATGCACTCTGCCCCAGGGCCAGACTCATGGAACTCCGCGTTCATCAAGAACTGCAAGAAGCCCCAGGGAGCATGGACACGGGGGTCGTCCCACAGTTACTAAAAACAACAGACATAGCCCCACTCCACAAAGGGGGCAGTAAAGCAATAGCAAAGAACCACAGACCGATAGCACTAACATCCCATATCATAAAAATCTTTGAAAGGGTCCTAAGAAGCAAGATCACCACCCATCTAGAAACCCATCAATTACACAACCCAGGGCAACATGGGTTTAGAACAGGTCGCTCCTGTCTGTCTCAACTATTGGATCACCACGACAAGGTCCTAGATGCACTAGAAGACAAAAAGAATGCAGATGTAATATATACAGACTTTGCAAAAGCCTTCGACAAGTGTGACCATGGCGTAATAGCGCACAAAATGCGTGCTAAAGGAATAACAGGAAAAGTTGGTCGATGGATCTATAATTTCCTCACTAACAGAACACAGAGAGTAGTAGTCAACAGAGTAAAGTCAGAGGCAGCTACGGTAAAAAGCTCTGTTCCACAAGACACAGTACTCGCTCCCATCTTGTTCCTCATCCTCATATCTGACACAGACAAGGATGTCAGCCACAGCACCGTGTCTTCCTTTGCAGATGACACCCGAATCTGCATGACAGTGTCTTCCATTGCAGACACTGCCAGGCTCCAGGCGGACATCAACCAAATCTTTCAGTGGGCTACAGAAAACAATATGAAGTTCAACGATGAGAAATTTCAATTGCTCAGATATGGTAAACACGAGGAAATTAAATCTTCATCAGAGTACAAAACAAATTCTGGCCACAAAATAGAGCGAAACACCAACGTCAAAGGCCTGGGAGTGATCATGTCGGAGGATCTCACCTTCAAGGACCATAACATTGTATCAATCGCATCTGCTAGAAAAATGACAGGGTGGATAATGAGAACCTTCAAAACTAGGGATGCCAAGCCCATGATGACACTCTTCAGGTCGCTTGTTCTATCTAGGCTGGAATATTGCTGCACACTAACAGCACCTTTCAAGGCAGGTGAAATTGCTGACCTAGAAAATGTAGAGAGAACCTTCACGGCGCGCATAACGGAGATAAAACACCTCAATTACTGGGAGCGCTTGAGGTTCCTGAACCTGTATTCCCTGGAATGCAGGCGGGAGAGATACATGATTATATACACCTGGAAAATCCTAGAGGGACTAGTACCGAACTTGCACACGAAAATCACTCACTACGAAAGCAAAAGACTTGGCAGACGATGCAACATCCCCTCAATGAAAAGCAGGGGTGTCACTAGCACGTTAAGAGACCAAACAATAAGTGTCAGGGGCCCGAGACTGTTCAACTGCCTCCCAGCATACATAAGGGGGATTACCAACAGACCCCTGGCAGTCTTCAAGCTGGCACTGGACAAGCACCTAAAGTCGGTACCTGACCAGCCGGGCTGTGGCTCGTACGTTGATTTGCGTGCAGCCAGCAGTAACAGCCTGGTTGATCAGGCTCTGATCCACCAGGAGGCCTGGTCACAGACCGGGCCTCGGGGGCGTTGACCCCCGGAACTCTCTCCAGGTAAACTCCAGGTACTGTATTATTCGACAAGCTCGTTTGCTAGTTGCTTTCTGACAATGCTTGTTATAATGCTTGTTTAGCTAATCCATCAGTTTGTGATGCTCCTGGGGGCTATGTGAGAGGGAATCCACAAAAGCTGTACTGTAATACAGAGGTGTCTTAGTATTAATAACTTGGCTTCCACCTTACTGAGCAGTTTGCCATACTTATTGCTCTCAAACTTGTGGAAACTACCAAATTAGTGTAATTGTAACTGGCTGTTTCTTCTCATTACTTGTTCTAAATAGCCTGAGACCAGAATGTTGCATGCTTGCGGGTGAAGCTAGGCACAGAGGTACATGAAATATTAAGAAAGGGATTACCGTTAATCATTGTGGCCAGGGTTTGTGTTTTCCTGCATTTTTGTCACTGCTATCACAAGTTATATACACTGATGGATCTAAATAGGAGTCTTCTGGCAGGGCTGCATCTGCTCTTGTTGCCACCTCCCTAGTTAAGAACGATAATAAATTTGTTGAGTTAGGCATAAGAATTAACAACTGGGCGTCTACACTGCAAACTGAATTGTTTGCAATCCTAATGGCGCTAAAGCTAACCTATGACACTGAGCTTGACTCTATCATCATTACTGATTCTATGTCATCATTGAAGGCTCTTGACTCATATAATGACTCCAACAACATGCTCATTGGAGAAGCCAGGTATAGATACTCAAAAATTAGGGACAAAGGAATTAATGTACAATTGCTATGGATCCCATCACACATTGGATTACTCCTTCATGATAAAGTTGATATGTTAGCCAAGAAGAGTACCCAGAAGGAGAATGTAGAATATAACTTTGGTATAACTGTGTCTAGCATTAGGAATAATATTAGGAGAGAAGTAAATAATGAAAATGATTGTTATAGGAATGCAGTTAGAAGCCTGAGTAGATCTATAACCCACTATGATAACATGAACGTAGATAAGTATGTTTATGGAGCAACTTGCAATGTGAACAGACTGACTGATGTTGTAGTGGCCAGGCTTAGGCTTGGTTACAAGTACTTCTGGCAGTTTGGGAGACACGCAGATGATGATCAAATTAAATGTAAATTATGTGATCAGGCATATGGTCACTCTCTTGAACACTATGTGCTTAATTGTCCACTTATTGAGGAATGCAGAGACAGACAGTATAATAACCTATGTGACATGTCAAGATATCTTATTAATGAAAATAAGATACCAGATATACTAAGCAAATTTCCTAAATTTGCTTGCAACAGATAAGTGAACTATAGATATGTAGATATAAATCTATATGTATTCCTGTTAACCCTTTGGGGCCTAGTTCCTAGGCCTTTTGTGTATCCATATGCTCTCGCGCTACCGTCCACAGGATGGATAAGGGGTGCACAATAAACTAGCCACTTCGGTGGCAAAATCTAATCTAATCACAGGATGAGTTGTGGTTACTCAGTAAACTAGTTGGTGAGTATGCAGCACAAATTAGAAATAAATTCAGTCTCCAAATGTGACACAGAATGATAGGGGGAAACCATGGAGGTTGTAGAAGGATGGTAATCACAGATAAAGCTATCTGTTGAACAATGAATAATCAGGGCCTTTCCAAAAAATATATAATAATAATAATCCTTATTTCTACAAGTACATGTACAAAGTATACAGTCCTAGCTGACATCAATGTCATACTACGGTATAAAAAGCCGCTTGTTATGTAGAGCATTTCTGGCAAATTAGGTCAGTCGATTAACAAACAGGTAGCTATTCGACGGTCTGGAGTTTTGAGACTCTCTGACCGCGGGTTCAAATCCCGCCCGTGGTATGGTTTGACAGCAGGTATCTTAAGGAAACACGACCTAATGTTTCCATCCGTACCGGGGATCGACCCCCTGACCTCAGTGTGTGTGAGCTGACGGTGCTAGCAAACCTGGACTCCAATATAATGTAGTTGCCAGAATTGTTTTCTTTTATAAATTAAAATTAAAATTCTTTATTTCTCTATTGATATTACAATGTGGAGTTTACATCTTATAAAATATTACTGCATATTAAAAAATTATTTATCACAAAGGCCACTAGTATGCCTAGGTAGGTTCAGGCAGATTAATACTCTTTCTTACTCTATATTGACACAGGTTATGGATCATACTGGTATTAAAGTGAGGTAGTTGATAACTAGACAATGCCTTGTCCGATAGGGTTTGTATTTTCAGCATTGGTCTGTAATTAGGGGAAAGGTTATTGTAACTATTGCCATGTCCAGGTGAAGAGAGAAGAGAGAGAGATTTAAGATTTCGTTCGGATTTTTAACCCCGGAGGGTTAGCCACCCAGGATAACCCAAGAAAGTCAGTGCGTCATCGAGGACTGTCTAACTTATTTCCATTGGGGTCCTTAATCTTGTCCCCCAGGATGCGACCCACACCAGTCGACTAACACCCAGGTACCTATTTGCTGCTAGGTGAACAGGACAACAGGTGTAAGGAAACGTGTCGAAATGTTTCTACCCGCCGGGAATCGAACCCGGGCCCTCCGCGTGTGAAGCAGGAGCTTTAGCCACCGGGCCTGCTTAACCTTATATAGATCCTTCTTGAATTGGTTTCGTGCTATAGCTTGAGACAACATGTTGCACAAATATATTGTCTCCATAATGATTTACGTATTTCCTGCATAAACTTTATCTATTTTATCTTTAGGCAAACATTCTACTTTGGGTTCACTGGCTACTACTGTTGAACATGATGAAAAGTAGGTTAATTTTGATTTAAATTTCGTGCATACGTTATTTTTTCACATTGGTATTAAGATTTATTTTTCTTGGGCTTTTTATCCCCGAAGGTTAGCCACCCAGGATAACTTAATAAAGTTAATGCGTCAGTGGGAACTGTATCTTATTTCCACTGGGGTTTCCACTGGGGTATTAAATGGCCATCATGTAGAAATTAACCTAGGACAACCCAATAAAGTTAAACACAGCCATATTTATTTAAGTCAGCGATAACGACATGAACGGGAAACATTATTCAGGAACCAGGTTCTCCAAAGTACAAAAGATTCCACCGGATAATGGCCGCTGTTTCAAAAAAACGACAACAAAAGTTTTAACAGGATTTAAAGACCCGGAAGTATGTCAAGAATTGTGTGGCTGCCCTTTAAAAATGATCCACAAACCCGTTGTCACCTGCTTTATTTACCACACTGAGCCTCTTATAGCCATCTTCGTGACACAGATTTATAGAATGACTTAAATAATATGTGTCGGGGTTTATCTAATTAAATATTTAGAGAGAGAAATAGGTAAAAATGTTCGATATTTACCATAAACGGCAACACAAAAGCGCGGGAAATCTTAGCGGTGAAGGTGGCGTGGAGATACCTAAAGCTGCAGCTTATTTAGCTTTATTTAACTGCTATAGTGACTCTAAGCTTGGTAACCTTCGGTATTTAGGTTCCCTGTGAGCCAAGGTTTTATTCTGCAGTGACTGCTTGTACCAAGGTATGGCAGAGCAAGGTGTTTCTGGCAAGATATTAGAGACGGTGGAGGAGAGACTCCCGGGTGGAGAGGTGATGGAGGCGGCATCAGGACTTTAATTATTTTCTTTGCCCCTCCAGCGGGGTGCCTTGATGCCAGGGAATGACTTTTGTTCCGAGGAATTGGAGTAGCCTTCCTCTAACTTGGATCAAAGTTGCTTACCTCTTATTCTCAGCGATAAACAGCCTCCTGAAATACGAGAGCTTCTCAGTAATATTGTTTTGGTCAATAATCTGGGCTGAAAGATTAAGCTTTTTGAATAATTGAATTATGCATATTTATTCACAGCACAATATCAATATTTTCCTGGTATATAGCTGAGGCAGACAGGTGCTTTCTTGTGACTTTATATTTTAAGTCATATAAATAGAATTACTATAGCTATATAGCTTTATGAACCAAACACATTTAGTTTATAATGTGTAGAGATAAAAAAAAATTATATAGGCTCCCTACATAAAACCCAGACTAGTTTATAATAATAATAATAATAATAATAATAACAATAATAATTTATTTCAGCATGATACAATGTTTGTACAGAGATGGAGTAACATTTAGCTGTGCATGAAGAAAGCATAGGTTATACATAGGTTTTTATACAGTTGACTGTGATATTCCTACAGACTACTTCAAATCCTGTATAACTAAAGCACAACAGCACATTGTCAAAAGTGTCACTTCCTCAATTGCCTCACGAATTAATTTAGGTGTTCCCAAGGTGGGCTTGTGGGCCCCTCTTCACTTTGCCTGACTTTTATGGGTTATCCTAGATAATTTACATATATGTTACTATATATGATAATTGTACTGATATGGACCTGTACCTAAACTTACTTATATCAATGATTTGCTGAATCTTACCCATAAGCTTAGGTACCTATAAAAGTACCAGAACACAGGTATCACACCTGAAACAAATACTTCTTTGATATTCCTCATGTTCACCTTAATCTCTGTAGAAACTCTATGCCAGATACAAAGGGCATAAATGTGGAATAATTTGCCAAATGAATAAAATTATTGTAGCCCAGTAAATTCAAACAAAAGCCCCCCAAAAATTCTGTTTTGTGTATTTCCCTGAGATTACTTTTTATTGTAGGCAATTCCTGATGTGCCATTAAACTTTTACTTTCGGGTTAAAATTTACACCATGTTCATTCATTTGTTTAAACAAAATCTTATCTCTCTAACCATTTTGCAACAATACTTTTTTAATTTGATTTAAGTTAAATTTCAGTTAAATAATAACTTTTAATATTTCTTACCAAATGCTCAGTTTTCACTAAGATTTTGTTATTTATATATTTAGTGTGTGTTACATATATTTATTATTTAAATATGTCTAGCATATTTTTTAGTATTCTATTGTTAGTGTTTGTCATAGTTTAAGTCTTCAAAATACTATATAACTAATGCACAACAGCACATTGTCAAAAGTGTCACTTCCTCAATTGCCTCACGAATAAATTTAGGTGTTCCCAAGGTGGGCTTGTGGGCCCCTCTTCACTTTGTCTGACTTTTATGGGTTATCCTAGATAATTTACATGTATGTTACTATATATGATAATTGTACTGATATGGACCTGTACCTAAACCTACTTATATCAATGATTTGCTGAATCTTACCCATAAGCTTAGGTACCTATAAAAGTACCAGAACACAGGTATCACACCTGAAACAAATACTTCTTTGATATTTCTTGTAAGAAATATACACCTTCTATTAACTAATACTGTATATTCTCTTGGGAAATAAAGCAATCAATATTGTAACATATTAAAATAGGTATACATTTGTAGTAAATTATGTGTAATAATTTACCTGAGGATAACCCCCCCCCCAAAAAAAAAAAAAAAACTGGTTGGTTAGATTAATTATCAGTGGCTGTGGTCAGTTACTGGATAGGTGATCATAGGTACACCATCACTTTAGGTCAGTGTGATTCTGATAATCCTTCGTCTTACTGATTCCAGCAGGGCTTTCCATGCCTTAAGTTTTTTTAGAGGCATTCATAACCATTACTTGAATGCATGCTTAAAATATTTGTTTATAATAATTTATACAAATGTTATCTTATAAAGGTATGTATGTTGTTGCTTCCTATATACACACTATGCACTGTGATTTATTTTTTTTTAATACGGTTAAGAACCCTTTATCCAAAATGCTTGGTGCGGAAGTGTTTTCGATCTCGGATTTTTTCGGATTTTGGAATACAGTGGAACCTCAAAAATCGAACTGCTCCCAACACGACCAATTATGTAAGTGTATTTTTGTAAGTGCTTTTATAAGTGTATTTTTGAGGGTCTGAAATGAACTAATCTAATTTACATTATTCCTGATGGGAATAAATTCATTCGGTAAAGGCACTCGAACAGCCTTCTGGACCAAAGAAAGTTCGATATTTGAGGTTCCACTGTAATTTTATATTTGTGAAACCAATTAGAAAAGATGTCCCTGGTGATCCAAGGCATTTTGTTAGCATAATATGGGCTGGTAAGTTATTCACACAGTGAGGACACAGGCTTTTGGAGTCAACAGCAAGTTAACACTTATACATACCTGCTGCATTAGTATATCCCAGCACAGTTAATCTCTCTTTGACATCCTTAACTCCTGTAGGAGCTCTCTCATCAGCTATAATTAATGTTTTTCTGGGGGTAATAATGCCAGAACAGTGATGTCTCATAAACATTGTAGATTTGTTCTACTGTTTTCATGAACTTCTGTTCATCACTTTCAGTATAGAACTTCAACAATTTGTCCTTCTGTTTCTTTAGGTTGAAGATAGTGGTTATTATAGTGCCAGACTCCTCAGTCAGACGCTCACACTTACACCACTGTCAAGTTTTTCCAGAAGCTTGACTTTCTGTGATATAGATAAACACAAATGCTTCCTCTGTTTTTTTGTCAATCTTACCCATAGGCCTTTTTAACATTTTCGACAATATCTTCACACTGCAGAGTACAAAACAGGCAGTAATTAGTTTGAAATTGCTGCTGCTCCACCAAGTCTTACTCCGAACGATCCATTTGTGGTGCATCATGCCAACCATCAATAGATTTTGGAGGTTTTCAGACTTTGGAATTTCAGATAGTGTTCTCTACTGTATCAACCGAGTGGATACCTGAAGGCTGTTTCCAGGGATCAACACCCTCATGGTTTGGTCCTAGACCAAACTGGTGCCTTTTTTTTATATTACAGCCTCTCCTCACTTAGCGACGTACTCGTTTACCGACGCCTCGGACTTAAGATGGGGCTCTGATCAGTATTCATACCATAATAATGTATATTAGAGCTGATTTCCTCTATTCTGTTTATTTCAGTATACAGTACACTACTATATAAACATTTTAAAAATATACCAGAAATGTTATAAATGTTGCAAAGGTGACATTAAAACAATATCAGAGATGGTTGACACAAACTCGCTACCATTATAGTATGTTCCTCACTTAGTGACAAATTTGTTTAATGATGTGGTCTCGGGAACGGAACTCTGTCATTAAGTGAGGAGAGGCTGTATTCTTAAGGGATTAGCTCTTCCCCATGAATGTAATTCAAATAATCATTTGTTCTCTAGCACATCTGGTTTTAGGTACTGTACACTTCAAAGCAGTGTAGGTATAAGTAATTAAAATAATTACATTTTGTTTTGTATGTAGTGTTGGAGAAAAACTCCCAGACGTGTCAAGATGCTGCGTGCTCAAGATTTGAGTGATTATGAGCTCCTACGTGAGAAGAATATTCAGGACAGGCAACAGATGGTGAGCCCATTAATAAACATGTGTCATTTAAAGTCTTCTAATAGTCATCTATGAAACAGTGTTCTCATTAGTGCCCCAGATGTTACAATAACAGATAATGTACAACTGCTGTACTGTTATCATAATGCATATACAAAAAAATTTATGCATTTTTAGTTTATTTCATATTTAATGATTCTTTATAGGGGCTTGAGGCACTGAGTATAAGCTTGTACATATTTGAATAGTTTGAGATATTAAATTACAGGATTTTTACAAACTATTTCGGCACTGCAAAAATGCATGGAATTTGAAATTTTTGTTTTGATAAATGGCAGATATTGGAGATTCTCTATTTTGTGATGCCAGTTGCATATACATGTACAGTGGACCCTCGGTTATCGGCTGTAATCCATTCCAGAAGCTTGTCCTAAAACCGAAATGGCCAAAAACTGAAATATTTCCCATCAGAATTAATGTAAATACAATTAATCTGTTCCAGACAAAAATATTCACAAAAAATTATTTTTTTTTAACAATTAAATCAGTATTACATACCTTAATTGAAGACTAATGCTGGCTTTTGGAAGATTGGGTGGAGGAAAGAGGGAGTTAATGTTTGGAAGGGGAATCCCCCTCTATAAAGACTTCAGGTAGGAAAGCCATCTCTGGGGTTACTTTCCTCCTTTGCCTTTTAATGCCACTAGGACCAGCTTGAGTGTCACTGGACCCCTGTCGCACATCATATCTGTCCAGAGTGCTTTGTTTCTGGCATCTCTTTATGATTTCCCTGAAGTGAGACAAGATTTTGTTACTAAACATGTTGCAGATATTGCTTGTTTCAGCTTGGTCAGGGTGGTATTTTTCCATGAAACAAGTTCCAGCACCCTCATACCACTCATGTTTTTCAGTCATTTCTCGCTTAAATTTCATGGTGTTTCTCACTTTCTTTACCACAGGAACTTTACTAGGAACTTTCTTTGGAGCCAGTGTTACTTATTTCACAGTTGCACTGACAAAAAAATGCCAAAAACAATGGAAAACAAACGAAATGTTTTGATGAATGAGCAGAAGCTTCCTTATGCACTGAGAGAGACAGCCAAACTGATGCGCAAGCGGCCCCAGCTGGCAGACAGACGTGTCCCATGTGGCCCATAACCGAAATAACGGCTGATAACCGGTAGCCGAAAAACCGGCCGAGAACCAAGTTGGCCGATAACAGGAATGGCCCATAACCAAGGGTCCACTGTATTCACAGCTATACACTCACCTGTCTCAATGAAAGAATTAGTATGAACGTTATAAAAAACTCAAGATAGCAGAAGAGCCTTTTCTTTCATATAGAGGTACACCATATTTTGTTTACATTCTAAAGCGAGTCTTAAGAAATCAGAGACGTGCTCATATATGTAGTAGAGATGAGGGTAGTGAGTCAGGTGAGGGTGAAGTGGCCAGTGCATTTCAGCATGAAAGGGTGGGTAGGCCGTCTGCATGTGAGGATTCAGCTAGACAAGTGTGTTAGCCTGATGTTGCTCTTATTCTTGAGTATAATGTGGGTGAGGGGCAATACTGAATTGAAAACCCCTTTGCTTTGAGGAATTGTAGTTTGTAGTCATTAGTACTGCTTTTAACACTTGCATCTGGAGGATCATCTGAGCTGTGATGTCAGCACATTTCTGGCAGGATAGCAATCAAATGAGTGTTGCTTAACCCTTAAACGGTCCAAACAGGTCAATGTTCAAATTCGTAGTGCTACAAAAGTAGATTACTTTTTTTCATATTTTCAAATATAACAACAAAAAAAAGTAGATAAAAGTTTTTTTACACGTTTTCAAATGTAAAACAAAAAAGATCTACATTTTTTACATACTTTCAGATGTTGAAAAAACGTATATGTACGTTTGGACCATTTAAGGGTTAATATGTTAACATATTTTTTGGGTCACTGTACCTTAGTAGGAGATGGCTGATAAGGTAAAAAATAAATAAATAAATAAATTAAATAAATATGCATGTATGTATATACAGTGGACCCCTGCATACCGATTTTAATCCGTGCAAGAGGGGTCATTGTTATGCGAAATAATCGGTATGCGAATGAATTTTCCCCATAAGAAATAATGGAAATCAAATTAATCCGTGCAAGACGCCCAAAAGTATGAAAAAAAAAATTTTTTTACCACATGAAATGTTAATTTTAATACACACAAACTGAAAAAGGCATGCACACTTACATGACACTTACTTTTATTGAAGATCTGGTGATGATTGATGGGATGGGAGGAGGGGAGAGAGAGTGTTAGTGTTTAGAAGGGGAATCCCCTTCCATTAAGACTTGAGGTGTCGAGTCCTTTTCTGGGGTTACTTCCCTTCTTCTTTTAATGCCACTAGGACCAGCTTCAGAGTCACTGGACTTCTTTCCCACAACATATCTGTCCCTAGTGGCCTGTACCTCTCGTTCCTTTATGACTTCCCTAAAGTGTTTCACAACATTGTCAGTGTAATAATCACCAGCACGGCTTGCAATAGCTGTGTGAGGGTGATACTCATCCATAAAGGTTTGCACTTTCAGCCACATTGCACAGATTTCCTTAATCTTTGTAGTAGGCAACTTCTTCAATTTCTCTCTCCCTCCTCTGAACCAGTTTTCTCAGGTCTGGCCTCTTGCTCTTGAAGTTGATCTATCAGCTCATCAGTGGTTAGTTCTTCATTGTCCTCCTCCACCAACTCTTCCACTCCTCCCACTAACCTCCAACCCCAAGGACTTTCCCAATGCCACAGTGGATTCCTCAACTGGCATAATCCTCTCAGGGTTAGCCTCAAACCCTTCAAAATCCCTTTTGTCTACACATTCTGGCCACAGTTTCTTCCAAGCAGAGTTCAAGGTCTTCTTAGTCACTCCCCATCCCAAGCCTTACCTATAAGGTTTACACAATTGAGGATATTAAAGTGCTCTCTCCAAAACTCTCTTAGAGTCAATTGAGTTTCGAGGTCACTACAAAGCACCTTTCAAACAGGCTTTTGTGTACAGTTTCTTGAAGTTTGCAATAACCTGCTGGTCCATGGGCTGCAGGAGAGGAGTGGTATTAGGAGGCAAAAACTTCACCTTAATGAATTTCATGTCCCCATAAAGTCGCTCTGCCACGTCTGTAGGATGACCAGGGGCATTGTCTAACACCAGGAGGCACTTAAGTTCTAATTTCTTTTCAGTTAGGTAATCTTTCACATTGGGGGCAAATGCATGGTGTAACCAGTCATAGAAAAAGTCCCTAGTGACCCATGCCTTACTGTTTGCCCTCCACAGCACACACAAATTCTCCTTGAGGACATTCTTTTGCCTGAACGCTCTGGGAGTTTCAGAGTGATACACTAATAAAGGCTTTGCAATCACCAGTAGCATTGGAACACATCAACAAAGTAAGCCTGTCTTTCATAGGCTTATGTCCTGGGAGTGCCTTTTCCTCCTGAGTAATGTAGGTCCTGCTTGGCATTTTCTTCCAAAACAGGCCTGTTTCATCACAATTAAACACTTGTTCAGGTTTCAGTCCTTCAGTCTCTATGTACTTCTTGAATTCCTGCACATATTTTTCAGCCTCTTTATGGTCCGAACTGGCAGCCTCACCATGCCTTATCACACTATGTATGCCACTACGCTTCTTAAATCTCTCAAACCAACCTTTGCTGGCCTTAAATTCACTCACATCAGCACTAGTTGCAGGCATTTTTTTAATTAAATCCTCATGCAACTTCCTAGCCTTTTCGCTTATGATCGCTTGAGAGACGCTATCTCCTGCTAGCTGTTTTTCATTTATCCACACCAATAAGAGTCTCTCAACATCTTCCATCACTTGCGATCTTTGATTCGAAAACGCAGTTAAACCTTTGGCAAGAACAGCTTCCTTGATTGCCTTTCTGGTGCCCACAATAGTAGTGATGGTTGATTGGGGTTTCTTGTACAACCTGACCAGGTCGGCGATACGCACTCCACTTTCATACTTATCAATGATCTCTTTCTTCATTTCTATTGGAATTCTCACCCTTATTGGTGTAGGGTTGGCACTAGAAGCTTTCTTGGGGCCCATGGTCACTTATTTTCCAGAAACAGCACCGAAAACACTGTAATAATACGAAATATTCCGATTGTATGCTTGGATGTTACCGCGGAGGCTGGCTGGTAAACAATGGCATGGGCTGCACATGTGAGGCTGGCTGAGGGCGCACATTGGACGCGTCTCGGACGAAAATCGGTGAGCGGGTTTTTAAGCGGTATGCGAGGCAAAATTTTTGCGATTAAAGCAAGCGGTATGCGGATTAATCGTTATGTGGTGCCATCGGTATGCGGGGGTCCACTGTATATCTTTTTTTTAACACGTCGGCCATTTCCCATTTAGAGAGGATGGAATGAAATAGAATGACTTGGAGAGCATGGGTTGTAAATGCTGCAGCGAGGAGTCTGCTGGAGGCAGTGGACACGTCGTGTCGAAGGGCAATGTGTGGTGTAAATATTATGCAGAGAATTTGTAGTGTAGAAATTAGAAGATGTGGAGTTACTAAAAGTATTAGTCAGAGGGCTGAACAGGGGTTGTTTAGATGGTTTGGTCATTTAGAGAGAATGGAACAAAGTAGGATGACTTAAAGAGCATATAAACCTGGAGGGGAAGAAAGGCAGGGTAGGAGTCCTCCTTGAAAAGGTTGGAGGGAAGAAGTAAAGGAAGTTCTGTGGGAGAGGGGCTTGGATTTCCAGCAAGCATGTGTGAGTGTAAACCATACCCCCGGCCGGGATTGAACCCGCGGTCATAGAGTCTCAAAACTCCAGCCCGTCGCGCTAACCACTAGACCAGCTAGCCACAATAAGATTCATCCAACTAGGTATATATACCTATATTGTGGCTAGCTGGTCTCTATGACCGCGGGTTCAATCCCGGCCGGGGGTATGGTTTATTTGCAATCGTGTCATTACGATTTCTTAAGTCATGTGTGAGTGTGTTGGATAAGAGTGAACGGAGATGAATGATTTTTGGGGCCTGACGAGCTGTGGAAGTGTGAGCAGGGTAATATTTTGTGAAGAGATTCAGGGAAACCGGTTAGCCAGATTTGAGTTCTGGAAATGGGAAGTACAATGCCTGCACTTTGAAGGAGGGGTTTGGAATATTGGCAGTTTGGTGGGACATCTAAACTGTTTTTTTCTTTCTTTTTGAGTCACCCTGCCTTGATGGGAAATGGCTGACATAAATATATATATACGGTGGGAGACGGCCGACTTGTTGAAAAAAAAAATATATATATATATATAATATAATATTTATTTATTTATTTTAGGAGTCTATAAAAGGTTAAAAAAGATGTGGTGGTTTCACCGAATATGTAGCTCTAAAATTTCTACTGTTGTTTTCCAAAGATTTTCATAATTTATTTTTTAAATACCATGTTGGCTGTGCTATGCAGTATGTGATTATTCTACTTATGATATTTTATATCAAATCCTTTGCCTCTTTTGTAGTTGTCGTTTGGAGAAAAAATGCATACGGAACTCTGAAGGACTAAGTATTGCAACGTATTTATAGATAACTGATGTACCATTGTGGTCTGTATATTATTAGAATGTGTATTTCAGATTGCTGCTCTTATGAAGGACTTTCAGGACTTCAAAGCCTCAGTAGTACCTACTAAATCTCCATTATATAAGCCAAAAGCTAAAAAGGCAGAAGTCAAAGATGACTGGTCGCCACCGAAGCGTGAATACAGGAGGAAAAACCGTTTCCAGCCATACCATTCCCCGCCCCGAACGAGGTATTGATTTTTTTTTAGGGCTTGATTTCTAGTCTGTGTGTTAGCTAATGAAACTGCCAAAGGAGATATTATTTTGCTTAATTGGTAAAATCGTTGCATTAATTTTGCAAAGTAATACCATACTCGGTCAGCTCAAGATGCATTAGAGAGCATCTAGCATCTTGGTTTCTCTGGCCTTTGATTAATCTATGGACCAGACTGTGTAGATAACTATGCTTAATTTTGTAACAAACAATTTAATCTCTGTTTCAGGGACAATCATAATGAAAGGAAATGTTAAAATAAATATAGGAAAGGATGGAGAGAGGGGGTAAAAGAGGTTTTGTGTGCAAGGGGCTTGGACATACAGCAGGCATGTGTGAGCATGTTAGATAGGAGTGAGTGGAGATGAATGATTTTTGGGACTTGATGAGCTGTTGGAGTGTCAGCAGGGTAATATTTTATGAAGAAATTCAGGGAAACCAGTTAGCCAGATTTGAGCCCTGGAGGTGGGACGTATAATGCTAGCACTTTAAAGGAGGGGTTTGGGATATTTGCTGTTTGGAGGGACGTCTGAACTGTCATATTTGTACGCTTCTGCAAAGACAGTGATTATGTGTGAATAATGGTGAAAGTGTTTTTCTTTTTGGGTCACCTTGCCTCAGTGGGAGATAGCCAGTGTGTTAAAAAAAATAGAATTAGCTCTTAATTCTTTCAGTAATAACTCTACCATACACGTTATCTGGTATACTCTGTAAACTTTTTTATTATTCTTGACAAGTCGGCCGTCTCCCACTGAAGCAGGGTGACCCAAAAAGAAAAAATCCCCGAAAAGAAAATACTTTCATAATCATTCAACACTTTCACCTTGCTCATACATAACTGTCTTTGTAGAGGCACCCAAATACAACAGTTTAGAAGCATATGTATAAAGATATATAACATATCCCTCCAAACTGCCAGTACATGTATCCCAAACCCCTCCTTTAACCCTTGAACTGTCCAAACGTAGATCTACATTCACTTGCGTAGCTCTCCGAACATAGATCTATGTTTTTTTACATATGAAAGCACGTAAAATAAAATGTAGATCTACGTTCGGAGTGCTACGCATGTGAACGTAGATCTACGTTTGGATAGTTTAAGGGTTAAAGTGCAGGTATTGTACTTTCCATAAACTTATTCCCGTATAATTTTTATTTATTTATTTTTTAACACGGGCATTTCCCACCGAGGCAGGGTGACCCAGAAAGAAAGAAGAAAAAAAAAGTGGAACAGAATTTTTCCTTCGTAAGTCATGCGTGTCATAAGAGGTGACTAAAATGCGGGGAGCAAGGGGCTAGTAACTTGTGTTTTTCTTTTTGGACCTCCCTGCCTCGGTGGGATACGGCCGGTTTGTTGAAAGAATAGACTTGAAGGAAAGCTTTAAAACTCTCAAAAGTAGGCTGTACGTTGATTGATTATGAATGTAATTTTTTTCATTTTACAACAGATCACGAAGAGTAAGTATTAGTTCATCTACTGTGAGTAGCCCACCATCTGACTGGCAACAGCTCGAGGATGATGAACAACTGGAATCCCGTCCAATATTTCTCAGGTTTCGCTTCAAAAAGGTTCAAGAGATTCTGAGTAGCCTTTCTGATGCAGAGGAATCTGATGAAGATGATGTTAAATGTTATGTTGAGGTGAGTATAAATATATTAAATACTATTTTTGTTGCTTAATGCAGTTTTCTTAAAACCACCTCCCTAGTTAAGAACAATAATAAATTTGTTGAGTTAGGCATAAGAATTAACAACTGGGCATCTACACTGCAAACTGAATTGTTTGCAATCCTAATGGCGCTAAAGCTAACCTATGACACTGAGCTTGACTCTATCATCATTACTGATTTTTTGTCATCATTGAAGGCTCTTGGCTCATATAATGACTCCAACAACATGCTCATTGGGGAAGCCAGGTATAGATACTCAAAAATTAGGGACAAAGGAATTAATGTACAATTGCTATGGATCCCATCACACATTGGATTACTCCTTCATGATAAAGGTGATATGTTAGCCAAGAAGAGTATCCAGAAGGAGAACGTAGAATATAACTTTGGTATAACTGTGTCTAGCATTAGGAATAATATTAGGAGAGAAGTAAATAATGAAGATGATTGTTATAGGAATGCAGTTAGAAGCCTGAGTAGATCTATAACCCACTATGATAACATGAACGTAGATAAGTATGTTTATGGAGCAACTTGCAATGTGAACAGACTGACTGATGTTGTAGTGGCCAGGCTTAGGCTTGGTTACAAGTACTTCTGGCAGTTTGGGAGACACACAGATGATGATCAAACTAAATGTAAATTATGTGATCAGGCATATGGTCACTCTCTTGAACACTATGTGCTTAATTGTCCACTTATTGAGGAATACAGAGACAGACAGTATAATAACCTATGTGACATGTCAAGATATCTTATTAATGAAAATAAGATACCAGATATACTAAGCAAATTTCCTAAATTTGCTTGTAACAGATAAGTGAACTATAGATATGTAGATATAAATCCATATGTATTCCTGTTAACCCTTTGGGGCCTAGTTCGTAGGCCTTTTGTGTATCCACATGCTCTCGTGCTACCATCCACAGGATGGATATGGGGTGCACAATAAACTAGCCACTTCGGTGGCAAAATCTAAAATCTTAAAACTGTGATTTAACAAAAAATTAAATATTGAATGTCATCATTGTCTCTACCTCACATCTAACTTTCATGGGCTTGGGAGATATGTATTTAGTACAATAAAAGTTACTACAGGTCAACCATCACTAATCCAGCATCATTTGGACCTGTAGTGTGCCAGATTAGTGAGTTTGCTGGATTACAGAGTGGTTAGGTTAGAATACACTCAATTAACCTATCAGTAGAGAGAGTTTCTGCTACATCTTCCTCATTTTCATCACTGCTTTCTCCTCCACTGGCTTGCTGCTGTGGATTTACAACCATCTGCACAATTTCTGAGTCGGTATAATGATGAAATTTGAAATTATGCTTGCCAAAAATTAGTGCTGGATTACTGATGGAACTGGATAACTGATTGCCAGATTAGTAATAGACAACCTGAATACAGAAATGGTTAAAAGATATTCCATGACACTTGACATTACTTACTGTCTTGATAATCATTTGCATCCTGGAAAATTAGGACCACTGTACTAACAAAACATCTATTGCAGTATTTCTTATTTTGCAGATAAGTGTAAAATTACACACTTGAATTGTCACAAAAAATTAATCGATCATACTAGTCTAGCAAATTGCTATTGCTGTCTTGTTTTTTGCACATGGGTACTGCAATTTCATTAATTTTTATATCTGCCCACTGTATAATTTGCTTTTCTCTCATCTTTCTACCCTCTAATTGCTTTGTACTGTATACTTCTTTTCATTGTTACTTATCTGAATATAAAAATTTTGTTGGTAGTTCTTAATATTTTTTTTTTAACATGCTGGCTGTCTCTCAGTGATGCAGGGTGACCTTGGTAGTAGACAGCCAGAATGATAAAAAGAGAAATTGTATATTAGTGACATGTCGTTTACTATTTCTTACATTTCTAGGATATGGATGTGGAAAAAATGCAACGAATTACCCGCAATCTGTCATCCTCATTTACTCTGTCCCCTGTCAAGCGTACAAGTACCGGGAGTGCTGATAATTCTGGGAGTGGGCGCAGAACTAATAGTATTTTTGATCCTAATGTAAACATCACAATGCCAGAGGACATTACCCAGGCGGATCTGAGAAATGTTGCTGATCGCAGTGGAGGAAAAATATATAATACTAGTATTGGAACCACATGTCATCAGTGCAGGTACAGTATATTAAACTATGGTAATGAATTATAGTACTGACACCTTAAAGCTAGGGTGTCAGTCTGTGGGGAAGTTTAAAAAATCATAAGTAATCATCTTTTAAAACCATAGGATTTTCAGTATATATACATGTGAAATTTCTTACTCTTATGCTTTATTAGTACGTAGCTGGTTAACATAATGGTGAAATTAGACATTTGAAAAATAAAAAAGTATATTTGCGACTGGGGCTGTACCTCCCTTGGCTTTCCCTCCTCCATAGCTGTGCAATTGGAGGCATAGCCCTTAATTGAAAAATGAACTTGAGCAGTCGGTGAAAGAATCTCTGCCATTCATTGTAAGCGAAGATTACCCAAGAAAAGTGTAGGAAACAGCTTTGTTTGATCCATATTGCACCTTATGGATGGGGCTGGGTAAGTAATGCATCAGCTACTTGTCCATTTGTGTAATTATTGTTCATAGTGTAATGTACTTACGGAATATAGTCTTCCTTGGGCTTTACTTCACTTATGTTCATTTACTAAAATTAAGTAATTCCATGATCATAAATTATTTATACTGTACAGTAAACCCTCAATATTATGGACCTCTGATATAACAGACTTTTTAAAATTATGGGCAAAATCCACTGGGTAAATTTTACTTTTAACTTATTTATTTTTAATGTTTATTGCAGTGTATCTGTAAATTGTATGTTAAGTATACATTAGAATGTAAATTGTATGTTAGGTATACATTACAATACTTTAGTTCATTTTATTGCTCTTTTTTAACATTATTCTGATATTAACTGGCACCCCCATTAGTCTGTTACATCAAGGGTTTACTGGATTTGAGTATGTCTGCATCTTGTTAATAATTTTTCAATGCAATTCAACCCCATCATTCATGGAGGTTAGGTTCCTGGAGGTGCCTTAATTCCTGAACCTACTTATAATAGAAAATTTTATATATACTAGTTCTTTCTGTCTTTCAACGTACCAGCCATATCCCACTGAGGTGGGGGGGGGGGGCCCAAAAGGAAAAACAAGTTTCTCCTTTTAAATTTAATAATATATACAGGAGAAGGGATTACTAGCCCCTTGCTCCCGGCATTTTAGTCGCCTCTTATGACACACATGGCTTATGGAGGAAGAATTCTGTTCCACATTCCCATGGAGATAAGAGGAAATAAACAAGAACTAGAAAGAAACTAGAAGAAAACCCAGAGGGGTATGTATATATATGCATGTACGTGTATGTGTAGTATGACCTAAGTGTAAGTAGAAGTAGCAAGATGTACCTGAAATCTTGCATGTTTAAGAGACAGAAAAAAAGGACACCAGCAATCCTACCATCATGTAAAACAATTACAGGCTTTCGTTTTACACTCACTTGGCAGGACGGTAGTACCTGCCTGGGCGGTTGCTGTCTACCAACCTACTACCTGGAATATATACTAGTTATTAAAAAAAAAAAAAAATCATACAATGGAACCTCTGCTTACAAATTTAATCCGTTTTGTGACCTTGTTTGTATCCTGATTTGTTTGTATGCTGGGTTAATTTTCCTCATTTAATTGAAATGCCATTAATTCGTTCCAGGGGAATTCCTGCTGTCAGGAGGCATGACAAAATAGTACTACGATATGATGCTAATATCAGCTCTATGGGTTATTTATCCATCACAATTCATCTAATATGACATAAACAATATAAATAACATAAAAACCTGATCTACACTCTAGAATGAATAAAATATGTATGCCATTACGTATGTGGTGGTGGGCATTCTCGCTCAGCTATGAAAACATCTTCCCATTCTTTCCTTCTTCACACATGTTAGTGTAAGAGAAAATGGAGTTTGTGAGACTAACTGCATTAGATCACTCCTTTCATAAGAAAACCATAACATAGAAATGAACTGGTGTATGTACACCATTTTCATACCTTGCAGAAGATAGGCAGAGTGGCATATGCTGTCAGGAGTTTATTTTGTTTTGTCCTTTTTCTATTGCTTAATTGCTACACTCATAATGCTGCATTTTATCACTGAGCTTAACTGGTTTATACTTCACATCTTGCACCTGTGCTGGCATGCAGGTACACATTAAAATCACTAAGAGTGTGTTATTAGTCTTGAAGATGCCACATTAATAATGATAATAATAACACAGTAACAATCACTGAGGGTCATGTATAAAACATTAATATGGACATTTTGCGTAAACCATCTATGATATTTTTTTCAAAATTATATAATAGACATGCTACATAACATATAAATTAACATAAGTATGAGATGTTTTTCCAGTCAATTTGATGGAGTGAACAAAAATCATTTGTGTCCGGGCTGGTAACAACAACTGGTTTGTTTACAAAACTCGCAAACCTACTACACTCTCATGTAACTCATTCTCTATCTCGTTTATTCATTTAATCTTGTTTACACACCTCTCACTCTGCATTAAGACTACAGATATTTTAAGTAATGAGTGTACTGTATGTGCATTTTATTGCCCCAGGGCACTTTAAAAGCCTAGTATATAATGTGTGATTGGGGTAGCCAGATAGGGGTTACATACCTACCACACTTTGATACTTACCTTCCCTGCCTTACTATTCACTTTGCACCCTGTATTAAGACCATGAAGATGACAAATGTTTTAAGGTAAATAATGAGTGTACACTACTATTATATTATGTGTGAGCAGGGTAATATTTAGTGAAGGGATTCAGGGAAACTGGTTATTTTTATATAGCCGGACTTGAGTCTGGTTTGGGATATTGGCAGTTTGGAGGGATGTGTTGCGTATCTTTATACATATATGCTTCTAAACTGTTGTATTCTAAGCACCTCTGCAAAAACATTGATTATGTGTGAGTGAGGTGAAAGTGTTTAGTGATGAAAGTATTTTCTTTCTGGGGACTTTCTTTTTGGGTCACCCTGCTTCGGTGGGAGACTGCTGACTTGTTAAAAAAAAAAAAAATTATTAGTAGTACATACGTATTGTAATAATAATAATAATGGTTGCTTAATGTATTTATAGATGGGGTTGTAAAAGAAGTAAATGCTAGGATGCTGGGGAGAGGCGTGAGATTAAATTATGGGGAATCAAATGCAAAATGGGAGTTCACACAGTTACTTTTTTGCTGATGATACTGTGCTGATGGGAGATTCTTAAGAAAAGTTGCAAAGGTTACTGGACGAGTTTGGGAGGGTGTGTAAAGGTAGAAAGTTGAAAGCGAACATAGGTAAGAGTAAGGTGATGAGGGTATCAAATGATTTAGATAAAAATTGGATATCACATTGGAGAGAAGGAGTATGGAAGAAGTGAATGTTTTCAGATATTTGGAGTTGACTTGTCAGCAGATGGGTTTATGAAGGATGAAGTTAACCATAGAATTGATGAAGGAAAAAAGATGGAGTGGGGCATTGAGGTATCTGTGGAGACAAAAAACATTATCCAAGAAGGGAATGTACGATAGTATAGTGGTACCAACACTCTTATATGGGTGTGATGCTTGGGTTGTAAATACTGCAGCGAGGAGGCGGCTGGAGGCAGTGGAGATGCCCTGTCTAAGGGCAACATGTGGTGTAAATATTATGCAGAGAATTCGGAGTGTGGAAATTAGGAGGAGGTGTGGAGTTACTAAAAGTATTAGTCAGAGGGCTGAAGAGGGGTTGTTGAAGTGGTTTGCTCATTTAGAGAGAATGGATTGAAGTAGAATGACTTTGAGAGTGTATAAATCTGTAAGGGAAGGAAGGCAGGGTAGGGCTCATCCTCAAAAAGATTGGAGGGAGGGGGTAAAGGTGGTTTTGTGGGCAAGGGGCTTGGACTTTCCAGCAAGCATGTGTTAGCGTGTTAGATAGGAGTGAATGAAGATGAATGGCTTTTGGGACCTGAGGAGCTGTTGTAGTGTGAGCAGGGTAATATTTAGTGAAGGGATTCAGGGAAACAGGCTATTTTTATATAGCCAGACTTGAGTACTGGAAATGGGAAGTACAGTGCCTGCACTTTGAAGGAAGGGTTTGGGATATTGGCAGTTTGGAGGGGTATGTTATATATACTTCTAAACTGTTGTACAGTGGACCCCCACCTTACGAACACATCGCCTTACGTTAAATCTGCCACACGAAGCATTTGAACGTAAAAATTTTGCCTCGCCTCACAATAAAAAACTTGCCTTACGTGATTCATCCGGGACGCGTCCCACGCGTGGCCTCAGCTGTCCCGTGGGTGCCAGTGTTTACAAGCCAGCCAGTGCGGTCACATCTAAGCATACATTTGGTACATTTCATATTATCACAGTGTTTTTAGTGCTTGTAGCTGCAAAATAAGTCACCATGGGCCCCAAGAAAGCTTCTAGTGCCAACCCTGTGGTAAAAAGGGTGAAAATTACTATGGAAATGAAGAGAGATAATTACTAAGTACGAAAGTGGAGTGTGTGTCTCGGAGCTGGCCAGGTTGTATACCAAACCCCAATCAACCATCGCTACTATCTTGGCCAACAAAACGGCAATCAAGGAAGCTGTTCTTGCAAAAGGTGCAAGTTTGTTTTCGAAACAGAGATCGCAAGTGATAGAAGATGTTGAGAGACTGTTATTGGTGTGGGTAAACGAGAAAACAGATAGCAGGAGATAGCATCTCTCAAGTGATCATATGTGAAAAGGCTAGGAAGTTGCATGACAATTTAATTAGAAAAATGCCTGCAACTATTGGTGATGTGAGTGAATTTAAGGCCAGCAAAGATTGGTTTGAGAGATTTAAGAATCGTAGTAGCATACATAGTGTGATAAGGCATGGCGAGGCTGCCAGTGTGGACCAAAAAGCAGCTGAAAAATATGTGAAGGAATTCAAGGAGTACATAGACAATGAAGAATTGAAACCTGAACAAGTGTTTAATTGCAATGAAACAGGCCTGTTTTGGAAGAAAACTCACCAAATTACTTTCACTAGACGCTCTGTTATCTCCGATCATCCTTTGTATCTCTATGGCTCCCGTATCCCCGAACGTGA